ATATTCAGGTTGATACATTAAAACAACCGACTTTAATTCAATATATTAAATAAATCCTTCCAACATCTGATGACTGATTGAATTCCATAAACTATTACACTTACATGAAGATTGATGAGGCATAGTTACTAATGAGTGATAACTAGAGCAAACTCCAGGTTCATTCATTCCCATTGAGTTCATCCATATGACTAACGAACTTTCTGAAATGACTTGAAAATAAATCTAACCTGGAAATCTTATCAAACAAAGCATTCACGTATATATTTAAAGTTTACTGTACTGTATACCATCTTGGATAACTTCCTTTCTTTCATATGTTATATCAAAGATAAACTCTCAGTAATGGCAAGAAAGAACCATACATTAGAATAATAATTGAAAAGTCGATAAACATAAACGTCCCTGTGACTGTTGATGAATGTGACATTAAACAAAGTCGCTTTATATTGATCAATCAAATCTCGTTGATTCGTATAACCTTTCAGTAATCGAGGTAAATTAAAATCAGAATAGGATTTGTGTAGACTGTAGACATTTTAATAGTTGAATTCATGAGTCGATGTAAGCTAGACTACCATTGAAAACTTGGAAGAACTGGACGACCGTTTCGTCCTAGCATGGCACTCCTCAGCAATATGCATCCACAACCCCACATGTAGGACTCGAACCCAGTACCTCCGGTCTCGTGCGCGAAAGCTTAACCTCTAGACCAGTGCTTCTTCCTTTGGATACATAAATATACATATACTAAATCTGTAAGACTTAAATATTTTTGAAATGCGACGTCATTTATCAATTCTTAGTGTAAACTAAGCTGATTTCGTTGAGCGGAATATTTTTTCTGTTAATTTCATTGATAGACAGTTAAAAATAATTGACAAAAGTTTTTCGGTAAAATTTCATTAACTTTTGGATTTTAAATTCACTTAGTATTGTTTGTTTGAATCTTCCGATTGATGTTTTAGGACTGCAACTGGTCAGTCTCTAATTGGCATATGTGCATATTGTGCGTATTGCCTCGATATAGTCTTAATTCATAAGCATGATAAGCAAAGATGGATAGTAGCTAGCACTCGAATCCAGGAAGCGGGTTTCGTCCTATTTGGATAACGCGATGGCGTTTGAGGCGAAAGATACTGGGTTCGAGTTCCAGAGTGAACATCAATTCTGAAATGCATGTACATCCACCTGACGAGCCCCAAATAGGACGAAATGCGCGTTCTGGATTCCACTGCTGGCTACTATCCATCTTTCCTTAATTTTGGATTTTGTTATTAAATTTCATCTACAATATCTTAGAAAATGATCTTGACTATATCAGTTTAATATATCAAACATGATGATACTAGTTTATCTAATCGATTGTGGAATGTACAGATTGCTTTTTTTACATGAACTGATAAACAGATAAAAATAAAAAAAAATAGTGAGATTTCTCAGATATGTACACCTACAATCCAGAAATCCTAGGTCTTTTGTCAAATACATTATCAGAAAATGATAACCTGCATTGCTGGATTTATTCCATTTAAACTGTAGAGTATTAGTTATAGTCATCCTGTTGTTGTGGTGGTGGGAGGACTCCACTAGTAATATCATCTCTAACTAGAACTTCATTAGTCGCTTGTTGAAAAAAGCAAAAACAAACGATCAATGTCACTAAGTTATTTTAATCATAAATTATCCCTTTCTTTTAGGTGATAATCACTAGCGTACCTTTGTGAAGATAGGCCTATTAAAATTATTTTGTAAACAATTGTTGATAGCATGGTAAGCAGAGATAGATAGTGGCTAGCAGTGGAATCCAGTTTGACGCGCGTTTCGTCCTATTTGGGGCTCGTCAGCTGGATGTACCTGCATCTCAGAGTTGATGTTCACTCTGGGACTCAAACCCAGTACCCTCGCTTCAAACGCCATCGCGTTATCCACTCGGCCACTGAGTCCTGATAGCCACTTGCTTGGGCGATGGGGTGATGTTTGAATTCATTTAGTATAGTTTATTTGGCTAGCAGTGGAATCCACTATCCATCTCTGCTTACCATGCTTGTGAATTAAGGCCATATCGAGGCAATACGCACAGTATACACATATGCCAATTACAGACTGACCAGTTGCAGTCCGAAACACATCGATGGGAAGATCCAAACAAACGATGCCAAGTGAATTCAATTGTTGATAGCTTTTGTATTTATTTTGTTTATTTTCACATTCTGTACATTTATCACTAAACAATTGTACTTGTTAAGCAAAGATGGATAGTGGCTAGCAGTGGAATCCAGTTTGACGCGCGTTTCGTCCTATTCGGGACTAGTCAGCTGGATGTACCTGTAGTTGATGTTCATTCTGGGACTTGAACCCAGTAGCTTTAGCTTCAAACGCCATCACGTTATCCACTCGGCCACTGAGTCCTTATAGCCACTTGCTTGTGTAATGGGGTGAAGTTTAAATTCAATTAGTATTGTTTGTTTGAATTTTCTCATTGATGTTTTAGGGCTGTAACTGGTCAGTCTCTAATTGGCATATGTGCATACTGTGCGTATTGCCTCGATATAGCCTTATTTTCATCTTTGCTTACCATGCTTGTGAGTTTAGGCTATATCGAGGCAATACGCACAGTATGCACATATACCAATTAGAAACTGACCAGTTACAGTCCTAAAACATCAATCGGAAGATTCAAACAAACAATACTAAGTGAATTGTACTTGTTATTTAAGTGTATGACCTCGAACACTTACTAACTAACTTCCTGTCGGCTTTTGAGTTCAACATAGCATGATATTGCAACTGCTCACTAATAAATACACTCTTATACACTCATGCCTCGTTCTATTATGTCTGTGGGTGTTATAACTGAATTAATTAATTGACTATCATCTATAATCATAGACTATTGTGACATTCCGATTACATTCTACGTTTAGCAAACTTACTGAATCTATATCTATCTCATTGGAATTATTAATTATCTATAATTGTGGATTTTTGGGACCAAGCGCAATGGAACACGCAATAGCCAATTTAAGTAACGTCCCTAAGATGGTTGTTGAGGGTGGTCAACAGGAAACCCTGTTTTTGTGCTACTTGGCACTCGCCAGCAAGGTGTACCTGTAATCTTGAGGGAACTGGTGCTTCCTAAACATTTATGTGTGTGTCAATAAATTATAAGTTGTTTATTGTTACATAAACTTTTCTTGCGTCATAACTTTATTGCTATTTTTGGTTATTCTACTTTTTGGTCCACTACACCTTTCGCTATCAAGAGATGATTATTTGAAGCCCCAAACATATTCATCCAATTATCAATAAAAGAATCACTATTAGAAGGGTTTTTGTGGAGATTTTAGTATTTTCATAGTTGAAAGCGTGAGTCAATTGAAGCTAGACCACCATGAAAAACCTGGAAGTACTGTTTGACGGCCGTTTTGTCCTATTACGGGACTCCTCAGCAGCGCGCATCCACGATCACGCACTCACGAAATCCGAACTCAGGACCTACCAGTCTCGAGCCAGAGCTCTTCACCGATAGACCACTGAGCCGGCTCAGTGGTCTAATAATGAATATAATCATATGCTCACCAGTGACTTCGGGAAGTACATCCAGAAGCTCTAGTGAGAAGCAGTGACTAGTGGAGTTCAAAATCACGTCTGTTGTGAGATAGGAACTCACTGAAGACAATTGGTGAATGGTTGCTCAACTTCGTGGATCAGTTGAAGTTAGACATTAACACCGTTGGATTTCGGCCAGCTCAGTGGTCTATCGGTTAAGAGTTCTGGCTCGAATCTTGTAGGTCTTGGGTTGGAATCTCGCGGGTGCGGTATCGTGGATGCGCGCTGATGAGGAGTCCCATAATAGGACGAAACGGCCGTCAAACAGTACTTCCAGGTTTTTCATGGTGGTCTAGCTTCAATCGACTCACTCTTTCATTTATGAAAAGAATCACTGTAAGATGAAAGAAAAAAATAAGACAAAAAATGATACTCATTATCTGGTTATTCTCTTTTTTTTCTCTTTGTTATTCTTCTTCTTTAAATCTTGTAATAGACTGTAAAATAAGAACAATAGTAAACATGTTTATCATTTATACAAAAGAAAACAAAACAAAAAGAGCAGTTGCTGATTAGTTTTCATAAATTTACTCGGTTACATAGTTACCCCCCACCCTTTCATATTTATAGAAAGTTGAATTTTATGGGAAACATGATTGATTATTTTCACAAAAAAAAGAAAAAAAAGGTAATAAAATGTAAACAGCCGATCGATAATCATTATAGTAACAATAGTAATAATAATAATATAAACAGACAAATAGTGAAATTATACATTACCGATAATATTTGGTACTTGGTAACTAGTGATAGTAATATGAAAAATAATCATATTACTAATAAATGCATTAATGAATTGTATTGCAAATATATAAAAAGAAAGGGGGGGACATAAGGGCTCATACCTGTCATTGTCATAATAGGAATATACATATATAGATATATCTAAATATATGTGTATTTGCATATATCTGTATTATACATATTATAATGTATAAAGATTCTTTATTATGAATACAATTTCTAACCTAATAATAATTAGTAAATAAGCACAAAAAACAATGAGGCACACAAGTGAGAAGAATATAGGCAACTAAAATACACACTCATACACAAAAAAAAACAAAAAAAAGGAAGGAGAAGAAGAAGTAAACAACTCAAGATAAAATTCAATGTACATAATCAATAAACAGGTAAATTAGAAACAGGAGAATACATGAAATTTCGATTATGTAATAAGAAGACGAAGATAATCAGAACTATCCATCTCTGCTTACTATGTGGTGAGATGTTAGTGCAATATATTTCGAACAAGTTGATCACACATATAGTTGTTAAGATCATTTATATATAAAAATTAAAGGTCAACTAGACTGGAAATGGGGGGGAGGGTAAGAGGGGACAAAGATAATAATAATAATATTAATATTAATAATAATAATAATAATAATAATAATAATAATAATAATAATGTGAAAACAATTTGAAACCTAATCACTCTGGATAATAAGCTACTATTACCAGGGTAGGTTTAAGATGAAAACAAAATGTTTTTGAATACACAGAGGGGGGGTTGAATTTTCGTATGGCTAAGGCTTCAATAAACCTTAGTATACGTCCTTAACAAGTATATTATGTGTGATCAGATTGTTTGAAATGTATTGCACTAATACATTATCACATAGTTCTGATAATCTTTGTGTTCTTATATTACACTATCGAAATTTATCAAAGGGACTAATTGCTTTGAATACATGAAAATTATGATGAATAGTTGAGAGTTCACTTGAAAGTATTAGGGGGTTAAGAGTAATAAATGATAGAAGAATATTGATAATTGACTTGAAGGTTATTCATATTGATTTACTATTTATTAGTAGTATGAATATAAGTAGTATTATTATTATTTGGAAGAATTACCTCTTTCCATAGAAACTAATTTATAAAAGAAGTAATATAATGTGTTTATCTGAAATATACACTACGAAAAAATATAAATAAATATCTAATAATCTTTAATATTCAATAGTCTTCAATAGATATCAGTGTACTATGAGTTGATGGTGAAGATTTTTTTTTAGCTCAGTTAGATGATTTTGATGAAGTTCCATTCTTTGAATTGGATGGTTTGATCACTGGGCTTTCATTGTTCTTCTGAATCACATCATTAGTACAAACTTTACGATTAAACCATTCAGCTTCAAATACGAAACCCCATCAAAATATACTTTGAAATTATATACAATTGTAGAATTATATAATAATAAAAAAGAAAACATCAATTGAATAGAATTGTTTCGTTGACAATTACACATTCACATATCGATTATTACTAGAGTATAAGGTTCAAAATTTATCATGGCACCGACAATCATCATCACAGTCATCATCATAGTATTCAATCACAAGGATCCAAGAGAACCAAAACATCAATAACAATGTGGTCTATTAAAACAAAATCATTTAAAGGCTTAATTGGCAACAGAGTTATTATGTATCTATGTTTTAGTGTTTTTAAGACAGTAATTAAAAAAATATTAAACAAAATCATTTGTAATTCCGTATATATTTATATCATATGTAGATCTCGTTCTGTTTTGATGAGTATCATATAAAGAATATCGAGAGAACAAACTCCGAAAGAAGGAAGGAAGAAAGGAAGGAAGGAGGGAGGGAGGGACGGAGGGAAAGAGAGAGAAAAAAAGGAAAGAAAAAAATCGACAAAATGCACAAACGTAAGATGTGCAGTGTTTGTCAAGATGCAAAATCAATAACTGTTATCAATTTGACTAATCTTTTCTCTTTTCTGATGACGATTGTAAAGTATCGTGACATTGATCCTTATTTGATTGAATATTAAATTTAAAATGATGTACCATCACTTCCACCACTGTTTACACCACTACCACCGGAACTTGTACTTGTACCAATTCCACCAAGACGTCTTAATGGACTAAATTCAATTGGATGTAAACCAGTATTATTGTTATGTATGATAGTGGTGTTGTTGTTGTTGGTGGTGATATTATCATTTTTATTACTGTTATTATGTTGATGAGTAGGTGAATGTAAATGATCAAACTTTGTTGGTAAATTACTAGATAACACATTATTATTACTATTACTAGTATTAATATTATTACTACCACTATTATTAGTATGGTGATGATGATGATGATTATTGGGTATACAAATATTTGTTTGTGGTGATGGCATTGCTCTTAAAATACGTGATATTGTTAAGACAAGTTCCGCAAATGTTGGTCTATGTACACCTTCAAAATTCCAACATTGTTGCATAATACTATAAATTGATTCAGGACATCGACTTGGTCGTGATAAACGTAGACCTTGATCTAACATTGCTAATATTTGTGCACCTTTCATATCCTAATTAAAAAAATATATAGACATATGTACACAAAGTGATGTACTTCAATCTCATTTTGTAATAAAAATATGAGTAATTAGCTTCCTGTTATTCACAACAAGGACTGATTTTAACAAGACAACTTTTTCTAAATCGAGATATACTGAACAATTGTTTTGCTTCACTGTCCACTTACGATTGATTATACTGGAACTTTGAAGTCATAACGTTTAAAACATTGAACCATGTGACCACTGAGCCGGCATCCAACGGTGTTAATGTCTAACTTCAACCAATCCACGAAACTGAGCAACCATTCACCAATATCTTCAGTGAGTTGACATTAACACCGTTTGATGCCGGTGGGCTCAGTGGTTTAGTGGTTAAGAGCTCTCGCGCGAGACTGATAGATCCTGTGTTAGAATCTCGCAAAGCGGGATCGTGGATGCCCATTGGTGAGTAGTCCCGCAAGAGGACGAAACGGCCGTCAAACAATGCTTCCCGGTTTTCCATGGTGGTCTAGCTTCAATGGACTGATGATTTCAACTATAGAAAATTACTAAAAATCTCCACGAAGCCCCTTCCTGACATTGAACCATGTTCCTTTTTATCCAACTTCAATTGATTCAAAAGATTGTGCAGTATTAGTCAATGTCATTAGTGAGTAAATGACTCACTCACTACACAATCGACATCTAGCAATCACTTCTTATTAGAATTTCGAGAGTTCATCTGGAAAATGGTCATTAGTTAGCATATGATTCATATTTAGTTCAAAAATTTGAGGCGGTTAGTGAAGACTTATGTAAATTTACATCAAAAACTATCATCAACTACTGTATTAGTGAATTTCGCGGTGCACTGGATTATAATTTTATTTAAGTATGAGCCTTCTCCACAATGGATACAAAGATCCTAGTCAAGTATCGGAGCAAGAAACTTAACTATTCACAGAGAGTTAGTTAATCAACTACTACAGACTGGGACTTTACAGTCGCTTCACTTACATTCTAGTGATAAAATATCGTTTCTCTCTAACTGATGAAGTTGTTCTACTAGCAGATGTCAAATGTCTGTAGTAAAAATGGCACTAGAAAAATATTTACATATATACTTGGTAATGAATGTAAAAACTTCAACTCACTCTATATGGTCGTTCACCATAGGAGTAAACTTCCCATAAAGTTATGCCATAACTCCATACATCAGACTTTGAGTCAAATCGAAAGTAATATATACATTCAGGTGCATACCATTTTAGAGGCCATTTCCCAGCCGTTGCAGCCTATATAGAAAACAACAAAAAACGAGTTTTGAGATAGAAAGGACTACTTAAAAAGAATCTATCTTGCCAATGAAAATTGAGACTTGAAAATTCAACTATTTTATGTTTTTCTATGATATTTAACTTCGTTACTTACTTATCGAACTAATTTTCCTGACATTCCAAGTACCTGCATTGATTGTTGTTCTGTTCTCGTGAACTCCGATGAATCTCTGATTTCACTATGAAACATCGCAATCCTTTTAAATGAAGACCTTTCAACTTTCGGAGTGGAGTTTAAACGACTAAACTTTTTCGCCAACTCAACTGTCTAAAGGTTAAAAGCTGGTCACGAGGCTTGGAGTTTATAAGTTCAATCCCTAGTTGAACACATGGATGTATACTGCTGATTAGTCCAATACAGCGAAGAAATATCTGACCAGTGCTTAGTAGTTTTTAATAGTTGTTTAAATAAGGTCACCTTGTGATTCAAAATACAAAATTTTCCAATCCCCACAAAATCCTTATGCCAAAATCACATTATGTTCATTTATTTTGTTTAGAAAAATCTGATTACAACATACCCGATAATAATCACTACCGAAATTCAATGCTTTACTCATTCCAAAATCACTAATCTTGGCAAAATGACGTGTAACCAATAGAACATTACGAGCAGCTAAATCTCGATGTACAAATTTACACGATTCCAAATAAGCCATACCCAATGCAACTTGATGCATCAGTTCAGTTAATGTATGAACACTGACATCACTAAAAGTATGAGGTAAAAACAAACCACTTTATAGAAAAACGGTATAATGAAAGAGGATTACAGAGTTTTCTTGTAAAACAATATAGTAGTTTAGTGATTGAAGGATGCACTGAAATTATGAACCGATATAAGTTGGATCAGCATTGAAAACCTGGAAGCATTGAACAGCCATCTCGTCCTAGTATGAGACTCCTCAACGGTATGCACTCACCAACGTGCACGCGGGCCTCGAGCCCAGGACCTTTGGTTCCACACGTGAACACTTAACCTCTAAACCACTGGGCCGTCATCCTACAGTGTTAATGTCTAACTTCATCCTGTGCTTCCAGTTTTTCAGAGGTGATCTTATTTAGATTGATTCATGATTTCAATGAAATTTAACACATCCATACTGACACTTTAAGGATTCAGTCAGTCAGTCGCAACATGGAACCTGGTACATGTGAACATCCGTTCACATTGTCATACTCCATCGACACAGAGAGGTGAAACTATCTGACGAAATCCCAGAGTAGTAGAGGTATTGAAAGTACCACTTTTAATAAGACGACTAGGTGTCAAAGATGCTCACCAACAAAATACAAATTAATGAAGTCAAAGGAAAGAAAATTGTTAAGAATTCAGAAGCTTAGAATCTATGGGAAGACAAAAACTGAATGCACATTCTTCATTGCAGACGATTTTGAGACGTCGTTTAGAACCTCTATTCACTAGTTGCCGTAATCATGCGGATACTAACCAGATGATCAACACCTATTACTGTGTCTCAGTCCAATTGTCATTTATTAATATAGTTTATCATTATCGTGGATTGGTTAAATTTAGAAATTAACATCGTTGGATGCAGGCTCAACAGTCTGGAGGTCAGATGAAACAATATAGATTGTTGATCTAGAAAAAAAAACTAGAAATTCCAAGAAACCAAGTTATTTCTTTTGTTTGTTGTCACAAATTAAATTTGTGCAGCTGGAAGATATGTACTAATCATTGCTGTGATTGGTTTGATAATTTCAGATCATTAGATCTATTCATTTTCCAGGACTATAAAGATTTTATATGATTCAGTATTTGAGAAATCTATTGAACATACTAAAGCTTTGTTGCTGTTATTGATACAAACTATTGTTTAGGAATGGATAGATTATGATCGTCAGGAATACATCAAACAAACTGCCATATCGATAATGATGTCTCTTTGTACCACCGATTGATTGAACTAAGAAAATGAGACCTGTTTGATGCCAGCTAGCAGTTTAAAAGATACGAAGTGTTTGTGAAACCAGGAGATCTTAGCCTTAGTCTCTGATTGGTCGTTGATGTTCACTAATCAGTAGTCCCATACTAAGGCGAAATATATAAGCACTCAATTCACAGATCTCTTAACCATATTCGTTCATCAACAGGGCATTTTAACTAAATGAAAAACTGAATATTTGATTACTGTAGCTAACCGGACAATTGAAATAAACAAACTTATAGAAAAACCGTGTTTCTTGCCCTTGTTTGATTGTTAGTGCAAACCACCGAAGATGCTTGGTAGACAATGAAAGGATGGGATCCAAAAGACACTTACATCACATATCTAAATTAATCAAATTCAACTTGATCTTGTCATTACTTCTTTGGTTGTAACACTATTAAGGCAACTAGACTATCAATCCGAAATCAATCGGGCATTTTTAAAACTATTCAATTGTTCGATAAGACGCATTTGACCGTTTTTCTGTTCAGTTAAGGTGTGAGAATTATATATAAGAGTGTAATTTTCACTGAAGATTTAATTTTATGCCTCAAATTTCATTTTTCTTACGTTGAGATTCATTACATTAGTGTATTCATCATAACAAACAGATGTAAATAGTTGAAATCGTTAGTCAATCGAAGCTAGATCACCATGAAGAACCTGGAAGCACTGGACGGCTGAGGAGTTCCACAATACGGCTGTCAAACAGTGCTTCCAGGTTTTCCATAGTGGTCTAGCTTCAATTGACTCATGATTTCAACTATATAAAATTACTAAAATCTCCACAAAACCCTATTCAGTTGTAAATAGATTCAGTTGCTTGAACTAATATCTTCAATCAAATATACACTACTCATTTGGTAAATGAACATGAAAATGCTAAATTCTGTACACTTATTGGACATTGAAAAAAACAGAAAGGGAACCTCATACATCCGCCTGTAGCTCCTCCGGGGGCTACTGCCTGTCCCAAGCCCGGATAAAAGAGGAGGGTTGGGCATGGGGTTAGCGACTTCATCCCATAGAAAACCAACTCGCTAAAAAAGCGCTAACCAGATAAAATTATTCAAACTATTTAAAAAAAAGAATAAAAATATCCAATTTTTTATTAACTTACGGGCGCTTTTTCAAATATTTATTAATTGGACCTAAAGGCGCCAATTCAAGGACAAGCATAAATTGTTCTTCTTTACATACACCTTTATTATTATATAATAATAAAAAAGAAAGGGAAATATTAATGTAAGGAAAATTATGTTTTAGGGATGGAGTTCTACAATTTTCAAAACAAAAGGAGAAATTGGATGATATACTACTGTATAAATGGGGAAAAAGTAGTTGCTAAGCTTTTAGCGGTTACTATATGATCATACACGATTTTGTTCAGTGCGTCTGGTTTTAATATATCTGTAACACACTGACATATCATGATATACTTACTTACTTACGCCTGTTACCCCTCGTGGAGGAGCATAGGCCGCTCACTAGCATTCTCCATCCAACTCTGTCCTAGGCAATATCATGATGTATATAGACATAAATGTTAATAACAACTTGAAGATTGACTTACACTTCAACCTAGGATATCTGTCTAATCCTTTTTTCGTGATTCATCAGCTGTATGTTCCTTTTTTCAAGCAGAACTCTATACTTAACTCTCTAATTCTCAGAGTACTTACTTTATACAAATGAACCACTGTATGTTGCAAATGATTTAAATAACTTTTGAGAATGATCGGGAAAGCACAAATCATTACAAATACAAAATATCTAACAGTTTAAACTTAATAGTTTCATAAACATGAGAATAAACGAGATTTTTTAAAAATATGAGTTGCTAAGATACATTTCTTTTAGATGAGGCATGAAAATCTTTCTACATATCCATTTTTGCTTATAATGCTTGTGACTGAAGGGTATATCAAGGCATTACGCAAAGTATGTACATATGCCAATAAGAGACTGATCAGTTGCAGTCCTAAACATTAATGAGAAGGTTCAAACAAATAATACCAAGTGAATTTAAACTTCACCCCATTTCACAAGCACGTGGCTATCAGGATTCAGTAGCTGAGTGGATAACACGGTGGCGTTTGAAGCGAGGGTACTGCGTTCGAATCCCAGAGTGAACATCAACTCTGAGATTCAGGCACATCCAACTGACGAGTTCCAAATAAGGCGAAACGTGCTTGCTGGATTCCACTGCTAGCCACTATCCATCTTTGCTTATATCGAGATAAAGTTTTCTCATTAGAGTTTATTATTACGAATGGAGCTAGAAACAAAATAATCTGTAAAGATTTGTTACCATGGGAAGATTTATGTAGATTGTCTAACATATAGATAATTACAGGCTCATTCATGAGCGCTAGTTAAAGTCAATTACTCAGTCATAATCAATGTAAAGTATGGTACAAATACGAGGTAACTTGAGTTCCTATATCACAACAGCATAAAAAGGTGAAATTAAAAAAATGAATAGAAAAACAAAATGCCAAAATAATTATATTGTCAGTGATAGTGAGGAAAACTAAACATTGTAAGTACAGTTCAAGAGGATTGAATGAAAGAATGGTGGAGCTTGAAGTTTGGAGGGAGAAAACAGGCAAACACATCTACCATTGTAACCGATTCTGAGTTACGTCTTTAAACACCTCCGACTAGTAATTGAAATTATCACACGACACCCGATCAATTAGTCTGTAACTATCAATGTGTTTCCCATTAACAGTTAGTGACCTCATAGATTTTCATCATACATTGGTTTAGTTACATCAAGATTTCTTACAACTTACCCGTTAACCATCAAACAAGAGATTTGTTTTAGAGATTGATTTTCCTTCAATACCCCAAGATGGACAGCCTTTAGATTAACTCAGAAATTTTCCAACTACATAAATTCTTTTGTATTCACGTATAAACACAGCTAAATCGCTATAGGTATAACGTTATTTATAATAAACAGTTTTGTGTAGTAAATGTTCGGTAGATTTAGTTCTTGGTGAAGGAATTGTTTCTCTGAGCAACATCAACATTTCTACTGAAAGTTGACTTTATTGATATTGTTCAGGAAAACAATGAAAACCTCATAATTAAATCATTCATTTGAGCGGCATATCTATTTCACTATCTTAGATTTATTTCCAAAGATACCCTCTTTCTTTTAGCTTTATTGAATATACATTAATAGTTAAGCAATAATCCATTAAATAACTTACCAATTAATCTTACAATATGTCGATGTTTCAATTGAGCCATTGTACGTGCTTCAGCGAGAATTTCACGCTATTTTTTGTTTCCATAATTAATAATAAAGACAGTTTGAAAAGAAACAGGAACAAAACAGGATAAAGAAAATTCTTTCGTTAAACAGTGACAAAATCATACTTCATAAAAAAATAAATGAAAATTATGATAATTTAAAAAAAAATTAACTTTCAAAGTTAACTAGTCTACATGAATTGTAAGTAAAGATGAATAGTGACTAGTAGTGGAATCCAGGACGCGCGTTTCGTCCTATTTTGGGACTCGTCAACTGGATGTACCTGCATCTCAGAGTTCATGTTCACTCTGGGACTCGAACTCCGTACCATTCGCTTCAAACGCCATCGCGTTATCCACTCAGCTACTGAGTCCTGATAGCCACTTGCTTGTGCAATGACGTGATGTTTAAATTCACTTAGTACTGTTTGTTTGAATCTTCCCATTGATGTTTGGGCTTGCAATTGGTCAGTCTCTTATTAGCCAAATGTGCATCCTGTGCCTATTGACTTTATATAGCCTTAATTCACAAGCATGGTAAGCAAAGATGGATGGTGGTTAGCAGTCTACATAAATGTAAATCCTGGCACAAATGTAAGTTGGTCCAAGTTGGTATGCTATATTAAGAGGATAAGATCAAATTTTAAAATGTGAAAAACAAACATTACAGTAGTACTGACAGCCTATAAAAAACTAAGCATTGAGAATGTAGTTCAGAAAGACAGTAGAAAAATAAATATGAAGGTGTACTAGAATTCAAGATCGAGAGGAAGGTAAAGGATGATAGTATATGTGAAATTCTGACTGATTCTAGGTCATGTCATACATTATCTTCAACCGCTGACTGACACTATCTGAAAGACTCCAATCAAGTAATCTGTATCTTCATAGTTGAAATCATGAGACATTAACACCGTTGGATGCCGGCTCAGTAGTCTATCGGTTAAGTGCTCTGGCGCGAGACTGGTAGGTCCTGGGTTGGAATCTCGCGAGGCGGGATCGTGGGTGCCCACTTCTGAGGAGTCTCACAGTAGGACGAAACGGCCGTTCAGTGCTTGCAGGTTTTCCATGGTGGTCTAGCTTCAATTGACTCATGATTTCAACTATGGAAATACTGAAATATCCACAAAACCCCTTCTGATTAATCTGTATCTACTAATTCTAATCAAATCAGTGGTCATGTGACTAAATGGATTGATCATTCCTTTTGATTTGGCCTGCGCTAGTTATAAATAGCACATATACTAACCACCTTGATCGATAAAGATTCATTACCTCATCAACATTTTTGTCACCTTTCCTTAATACCCTATTTTTTAAATGTTCAACATTGATATTTATCGGGTGGGGGGAGGAAGCTACATTCAGGAATGAACACTCCCTGTTTAATGAATCCATTTATAAAATATATTCGTAAACTCATATAATTTGAAATTTTAGGCTGAGTTAACTGGTAGCCAGCAATGGAATCCAGGTCTCACGTTTCGTCTGGAACTTTTCAGCAGGATGTACCTGTATCCCAGAATCGGTATTCAATCTAGGTATCAAACCCAGTATCGTTCACTACAAACATTATCGTATTATTCAATACGAAAGAACTAAAATCCATACCATCGAACAATCCAGTGGCTACCTGAACTCAGTAACTTTATAGATAACGCGATAACATTTGATGCAGGAAATACTGGGATCCAGTTGTGGGATGAACATCAACTCTAGGATCCAGGCATATCCAGTTGACGAGTCCCAAATAGAATGAAACATACCTCCTGAATTCCACTACTAGCCACTATCAAACTTTAATTAAAGTGCTTTTGATTTAAATGATAATATCGAATCAATCCATATAAGATGCATATATACCTAAAAATAGACTGATCAATTACAGTAATTAAACATCACTGAGAAGATTCAGACATTGAATATTAATAACTTTGAAGTCTTTTGGTTAAAAACTTTATAAAAATGGTATTTTATATTAGACTAAATTTAGTGTAAAATAGGTAAGTGTAGAGATTAATTATGAAATAAACATGTACTAAGAAATCTGGGCATGTAGTATATATTCAATATGAACACTATCAGTAAATGATAATAATAAAGCATTTCACTCAACAGTTTAACTTCAAATATAACAACAGTTAAAATCATGAGTCAATTGAAGCTAGACCACCATGGAAAACCTGGAAGCACTGAACGGCCGTTTCGTCCCTTTGTGGGACTCCTTAGCGGTGCACATCCAAGATCCCGCCTCGCGAGATTCGAACACAGGATCTATCAGTCTCGCGTACGAGCTCTTAACTTCTAGAACCACTGAGCCGGCATCCAACGGTGTTAATGTCTAACTTCAACCAATCCACATAATTGAGCGACACATCCACCATCGTCTCACAACAGACCTGATTGAACTCTACGGGTCAGTGCTTCTCAATAAAACTCCAAGAAATACCTCTTGAAACCAGTCACTAGTGAGTATATGATTATTATCAGAAGGAGTATGTGGAGATTTCATGTATATTTCATATTCATTATTGGTAATGAACAAACAAATGTAAATCATACAATCAAAGCACATTCATCATTCCTACATAGAGTTTCTATATATATATTCACAGATGAAATTAATCATTTCAATTAGGAAGATATCTTTCTATTACAAGGAAAATCATACCCAAATATACATCATATTATTATTATTATTAATACTACTGTCAATTGTATTATATATGTATATCCTTTCTATACTACTGACATCTACTTATATACATTCAATACATAGTTACAGTCAAGTGGAAAATCCTAATCCATAATTAATTTTTATATCTCTCTTTACTATATTCTACTGATTTGACTGGAAATTGCATGTAAACATAATTTGCAGATACAATTAGGGTATTTATTATACTACTATTATTATTATTATCCCATGATGATGATGATGATGATGATGATGATCAATCTTATCAGCAATGAATTAAGTATCATTGAATATATACCGATTGTCGATTTTATTCACTTCCATCCCGATATCATCTTTATCATCATTATCCTCTTTATTGATATTGTCATATTTAAAAAAAAAACATTTACGGGAATGATCATAATACACTACTTGTTTAACCGATACCATTCAGGTATATACGTAAGTATATATATATATCTATGTAGATGTGATAGGAAAATTGCCATGTCTACAACTTAGTTTTAAGACATTCTATGGATGTGTGGGTGGGGGTCTGGGTGGGTGTACGAAAAAAAATAGCCTGAATTTATTTTTAAAAAAAAACACCATAAAAGGAAACGAAACATTGAAATAGGAAAACAAAAAAAGCGAATAGAAATACACACACTAATAAGTGAATTCATGTAAACAAAAATCGTAATGAAGCGTTTCTTTTATTTGTTTTTTTTTAATTCTGTTTTCTTAAATAGTTACTAGATCTTATGTTGAAAATTTTAAGAAGAGGGTTAGTGTGAGATTTGTCTGTTTACTTTATTTATGTTTTTTTCCTTCTTTCTTTCCTTTTTTAATTTGTTCCAGTTTTTATTTTTCTACATCCTTTGGAGTAAAATGGTTGTACTATGGGTACTTACTACTTACTTACGCCTGTTACCCCTCGTGGAGGAGCATAGGCCGCCCATAAGCATTCTACATCCAACTCTGTCCTGAGCCTTCCTTTCCAGTTCTCTCGAGTTGTTATTCATCATTTTCATATCTGCTTCTATTTCCTGGCGTAGTGTGTCCTTTGGCCTTCCTCTTTTCCGCTTCCCTTCCGGATTCCAAGTTAGAGATTGTCTTGTAATGCAGTTTGGTGATTTCCTTAATGTATGTCCTATCCACTTCTAACGTCTTTTCCTAATTTCCTCTCCAGCTGGAAGCTGGAAGCTGGTTTGTCCTTTCCCATAAAACGCTGTTGCTGATAGTATCCGGCCAATGGATGTTGAGTATTTTGCGTAGATAACTGTTTATAAATAGTTGTACCTTCCTGATGATGGTCGTAGTAGTTCTCCACGTTTCAGCTTGCTACAGTAGGACTGTCTTGACGTTTGTATTGAAGATTCTCACTTTGAAATTAGTTGACAGTTGTTTTGAGTTCCATACGTTCTTCAATTGTAGAAATGTTGCACTTGTACTGCACTGTACTATGGGTATAGAATAGATAAATCTATTTGTCAGTGAAATGTTATTTTCATTTCAAGGTAGTTTATTCCCTCACCCCCATCAGTTGTTGTGATGGGCTTGGTTAGCCTGATTGTTTTCGTACGGTTCTGTTAGCTAAATATCAATAATGTCAAAGGATAATAGACACCAGAAATTAAAAAAAATTGACTGAAGTTAGAAAGATGATTTATAGGCTAACAACTTAGTTATCTGTAAAATAAGTCTTAATCTGAAATCTGAAGGTTCTAGATTTGATACCTTGTGGATTAGTGAATATCGTCTGTTGAGGAATCCCAAACTATGGTGAGAAAACCACTTAATGCTTCTTGTTTTTCGACTGTTGTCTAGTCAACGGTAAACAGTGATATAAGACTAAGAAAATTTAACAGTCTTCCCAACCACTTACATGATTGTCCCAACTCTGATTCTCTTTTAGCATGACTTTCTGAACAATCCAATTACTAACATTTGATTTAACACAAACGATGGTAATACTTATCTAAGTCACTTCTATACTTTAGTTCATAACATAAATGAATCTGAACAAGGTGATTGAACTGTTAAGCTTTCATTTCAACTGAATTTATTTTAATGGATTTATTTGAATTAGTTATATCCTGTAAAACTTTTTGAATTGAATACTGTAGTAATGCAATGAAATCAACTAAGAGTAGACAGATTTACATTTGTGGTGCATGCTACTTATGCCTGTCCACATAAATAGTTTGCGACACCAATCAGAAGTGGAGTACCTGACAGTAGAAGGTTGCGAAGATTGAATTGAATAAAATAGGAATATAAACAGAACGTAATTATGAAGGCAATGAAGGAACAATAAAGTTTGAGACGATTGATTTGCAAATGAAGCATTTATTGTATAGTTTTCACATTTTACCAAAGGGCTCTTTCTGTAACTTTGTATCAATTAATAAATTGTTTTCCCCACCTGAGTGATCGTTCACAACATATATATAAATTTTTTTTCTGGTTAGCGGCCTATGCTCCTCGACGAGGGGTAACAGGCGTAAGTAAGTAAGTAAGTATATATATGTATATATATGGTGCCCTGTTTGAATGTCTAGTTTACCTATTCCTCCCATCCTGATATTTCAACAAGCTACTTGTTTTGTTTGTTTGAACACATAATTATGTCCATTAATCGCATAATCTATCCAGGCACGTTTATGAAAAGCTTACGACCATTCGTCGTACAACTTGCAAAGAAGTACAGAGATATTGTAGTGGCAGGCAATATGAATTGAAAAGAATGAAGATTATTCAAATGTCAATTTCTGAATTACTAACATCTAAATGGCGATCACTAATTGGTAAAATGAACTGTCTTCGATTCTTATTAAGTCTAAGCATGTATCTTAATTGTGTAATCACAATTTAAGAATTCTGATTAAGTGATTTACAAGACGATTGCTCAATATCACTGAAAGATTTCAATATTCATCGTCAGGATCGACCAAACAATAAGAAAAGGTAGCTTTTTGAAGTAATTTGTGCTGAGAATAGAATATTGAATAGAGCCATTAATAATAACATTACATCAATATCACACTGCATTGTAAGTTGACTAAGACCGAGTGTGTAGATCGTTGGATTTTAACTCAGGGGTTTCAATTCAATATAAGACGGAGGGAGGTTGAATAAGTGCTGATAAACTATTCGAAACTAGGATGAAACATAAATTCAATGTATTACTGAACGTTTTATAGATTTTACAATTGATTTTATTTGTGGAGAGTAGCACATTCAAATAATAAGCCAAAAAAAAGATGGAATTAGTTATGTTTACAAGACAGTATATAGTGATGATCTCTTATAGTGATAGAGAATGTAACCACTTATTGATTACCTCATGAGTATTTGTGATATTTATTTATCTATGAATAATTGACTAGGTATGCTTAATAAATAAACATATTCACTTGGCGAATTGTGCAACTAATCAATCACTTATAGATGGCTGAATTGTATTGCGGAGTAACAATCTAGACATTAAGCTTAATAACCTGGAATTGATGTGGATTATGCTTATTTTTCAATAATGCTCTATCTTAAGTAGGGTTGAATTTTTACAACTGTTTATGCAAAATTGTAGATACCTTTTACCAATAGGTACCAACCAAGAGATAGATTTCAGTTTAGGATTATCTGTTGATAACTTCAAACCAATTAACATAAATATATGCATATATGAAAACATTCAATAGGCTTATATGACAACGTTTCGACATTGGAGTCTATTGCTGACGTGCTATAGGGACAAGATTACTGCTCTCGTGAACTCGTATTGATAAATGAAAAGAAAAGAAAACAAACGCCCAAGTAATGTTTAAACACTAATTGTATAGTTTTGTCCTCTTAGATTACAGTGAAACAATTAGTTTCTCAATTGTTTAAATACAACAATAGTAATTCTACCATTCAACAATTTGTACATATCAATCATAATGTTCAACTCACCTCGCCAGAATTGGCAATTTGATTTGGTTTCAGAGTTTTCACTGCAACTGGTACTTCTTGTCCTGAAGGGGTACGGTATAAACCTTTGACCACATGACCAAAATTTCCTCCACCTTATTAATGAGTATAATGATTTATATTTGATGAGATTAATTGGACAACATTTTAAAATGTCTTTAAAATATACAAACCTACCATCTACTGATATCTATTATATGCTACTAAGACTTTCCCAGCATTCTTTGAGCTTAACTGATCCATAAGCTTAAGGTCTTTCAAATCGGATTCATTTCCAGGATTATCTACTAGCAATGAAGTCAGTGTGAACATATAATAAACAATCACAAACAGAGAGTTCAGGACGAACTCAAAATCTTATTTCCATTCGAAAGAAGCCCTAATGAAGTTGTCAAAAATAACAACGAAAGCGCCACAAATAAACAATCTATCTCAGAAAACACAACACCACTAAAATCGTCTAATTGAGGAGTAAATATTATCCATAATTTTACGAGTTGAATTACTTAACCTTAAGCAAACTGTTTGTCTGTATGTCTGGTCATACTACGTGGCTCCAGTGAAATAAATGAAGCAAGTGTCAAACTGAGGACCAGATGATTGAAAGTTGAATACTTCAACTACTTAGTATCGCTTTTGTTGCTACGGCTATCTGACTAAAAACGTTGTCATATTTTTACTTTACAGTTCTTTAAATAAATGTCTTCAACCTATTATGAGCCGTTATAATTTCAACAACCACTGAATATATTTATTTCAAACATGTAATGTATTTCAAACAGTTATATAAATAATAAAAGTAGAGATGAATGGTGTCCAGTGATGAAATTGAGGATGCGCGTTTCGTCTTATTTAGGACCCGTCAGCCGGGCGTACCTGAATCTCAGAGTTGATATTCATCCAGCTGACAAGTCCTATATAGGACGAAGCGTGTGTCCTAAATTTCATTGCTAGCCAAAATCCATCTATGCCTTTAATACTCGTGACTTATAGCAATAACGAGGCGATCTACATGGGATGCACATTTGCCGATAACAGACTTGCCAATTTCTAATAGAAGATTAACTATTTGAGAATCAGTGAAGCTGAACGATATATATATAAATATATATATATATATATATATATATATATGTATAACTGAAAGAAAATTTTGTTTTAACCTACCTAATCGTTCTTTCAGCGTTACTGTTTGTGAGTTCAACAAGAAATTCGATGGTGGTAATTCATCATAAATTTGTTGAGCATTCTCTGGACTAATTGCATTTGCCCAAGCGCTACGATTTGATTGAGTTTCCATTGGTCCAATATTACTAACAGTATTATTATTACTATTATTATTATTAGTAGTAGTGGTAGTCGAACAAAGTGTTTCATTATTATTATCTGTAAAGTTTATTTTATTCATTAAATGATTTGAATTATTCAACGATGAAGTACGACGTGTCAATGTTGGACTAATCAATGGTAAAAATGGATTATTTCCAATAAATGTCGATAAATTTGTATTCGTTGGTGTTAGTCCAGAATTTCCACAACTTCCAGCACCAACACTACTACTACTACTACCACTAGCACAGCCACTACCAAATGAACCACCACTGCTAGATGTACTTTGTGCATGTTCTAAGAAATAAAATAGGATTAATTTGGAAAATATTATTATGAATTGAGATGTGTAAAAGTGTTGTCAAAGAGAAAATATAACTGGAACACCTCCTCAGTGTATATCATTTCAATAGAGATCAGTACTCTCATTCAATAAAACTATATCTCAGTTATAAATCGACTAAATTATTTATGAAATAACTGTGATTGGAACTGAAAGCTAACTGAATGGTGTTTATACGATAATCCCTGTAAGTAGTTAGATACATTGATTGACATGACTCAGAACTGGTTTCAATGTCACAGAAGTATTCAGTTTCTTCCTTTAAGTTTTAATCTTAAACACTATTTGCTACATTTTATCACTGTACTTGACTTATCTGTTTCGAGCAATGTTCTCCAATATTTGATCTTTCGCATAATTACTGATATTACGATCATGTCAACTCTTTGACGATTCAAGTTGTTAATTTCTTCTCACTTTCCTAACATACTTTGCCAAATTATGTTAACGTGAATTTATGCTTCCTTATTTTCAGTTTAGCATAGATAATAAGCAGAGATTAACAATGCCTACCAGTAAGATCTAGAAGATATCTTTCGTGCTAATCGGGACTAGTCAACCTATTGTATCAATGCATATGAATGGCATAGATTGTTAGTATTTAAAAAAAAAAAGAAGTTAACTTGTAGTGAACAAGAACCCGAGTAGGGACAATCGATTGTAATTAATCACAAATGACAGACTATCTCATTAAAATCTGACAACCATACAGTAAACAGTTAATTTGCAAACTATCAATGAATTGTCTCAATCTTTACCGTTCCCTGAGCAAATATCAGTCCATAGTATTCGATTATTATTGTTCACGCGTTTTCATACCAATCCCGTTTCGTTTCTATTCTTCCGTTATTGATCTTCTACTGAAATACATTCAATGTCTATCCATCGTCATATACTACTTATGTGAATGTAAGCAACCTACACCATAAACTTATTTTGAGTCGTAGTTTATTAGTGAAATATTTTAAGCATTTTAATTAGTTTAACATTATTTAAAATGATTTTCTTTAATATAAATTTACCACACAAGGTTGGAAACAAAACATGTTTTTTGGTTGAATGATTTGCAGAAATTAATCTAGAATGAAAACTATATCTATGGATAACTAATGTGAAATAAACAATTGCTGTCAAACTACCGAGCACTAAACATATTTTATTCATTAATATTAGGATTCTTTTTTAGTGAATTACTAAGAGAATGTAATAAAGATCGATTCCACGATTTTAAGCTTTCATAATGAACATATTATCTCCATATCATACATTTGAATTCAGAGAATAATCAATCTACAATACTTCTTTTGGAAAGGGCTTAATGACTATATCAATCTGTTTATTTTGATTAACGTTTATTTAGCAATGTTGTTTTCTACTAGATGAGGTTATTGAGCCCATTCCCAACTCCACTCTTTTGTGTGAGCTTGAGACTGGTAGTAGCCCTAGAAAAGCTACAGGCGGATATGAAAGAAAACAATAGCAACTGAAACAATTAGAAAGGATTGTTCATGACAGAGTTGGAAAGAGAATGATGGTGAGCGACCAATGCTTTACCATGTAGGGTAATAGGCGTAAGTAAGTAAGTAAGTAAGTAAGATTAAACCAATCTACTCTTGGAAAAGAAACTCCATCAAGAAAAAAATGAACAACAATGTTAACAATAATGATAGATTTAAACATGTACTTTTCTCTTCATATATGATATCGATTAACTAACTAATTTTATCAATCTCAATCTAGTACATTATTCTTATTGGAAAAACTTGAAAAATTTTTTTTTTGAATTTTAGAATTCACATTTTTTTTGGTTGTTGTTTGCTTTTGATATATATGTATACAATACCATCATTGAAGCCGATAACCATGTGGATAACTAGTTCAAACATAATAATAATAATAATAATAATATTATTATTATTATTATTATTAAGAAGAAGAACAGCTGTGTTCATTCTATTTCACGTTACTATGAGATGACATGATGAAGGTCATTTGTGAAAATTTTGTAACATATGGTCATGGTAACAATTTTTTTTTTGGCTTTTTTTCGCTCTTTTTCTTTTTTTTGTATAATAGTAGTTACTATCTTATCAAAAATGAAGACAATCTATAGAAATTATATAGAATAAAATGATAGAAAAGAAAGGAACAGATTATAAATAATTATGATTCAAGGTGAATAATTAAGCATCATAATAGTATACTATTTATAAATATTATAATTGACTTAGTGATTATTTTAAATCTAGAAATGGATAAATAGTCTATAATAATTATTTAAAAAAAAAACAAGCTAAGAGACACTACAAGTATACTAAACTATTATATCATTATATATAGCTGAAATCGTGAGTCAATTGAAGCTAGACAACCATAGAAAAACTGGAAACACTGGACGGCCGGTTTATCTTATTGTGGAACTCCTCAGTAGTGCGCATCCACGATCCCGCCTAGCGAGATTCGAACACAGGACCTATCAATTTCGAGCGCGCGAGCACTTATAGATAGATCACTGAGCCAGTCGGCATCCAATGGTGTTAATGTTTAACTCCAACCAATCCACGAATTTGAGCAACTATTTCACCAATGTCTTCAATGAGTCGATATCTCCCAAATGTTTATCTCATCAGTATTTAGTATATCAGCAAATTCAAACTATGAACATTTATATCCAATCTTTTTACATCTCAACATAATGTAGATTATGTTTAGTCAATTAGATTAGCAGCCAATTTGTAGTTTGGTCAGTAAAAATCACTCCAAACTAAATTATTAGACAAACATGACATTGGTAACGATTCAATGATTGATCAATGGTAAATATATCTCAGACAGTAAAAATGTGTGATACTGTGAAGCTGGCTAACATGGATTGAGATTATACAGAGAGCATCGGTTCCCTCAATATTGCAGGTGCATCTCATTGATAAATGCTAACTTAAGCAAAATATTGTTTCAGGGTTTCCAATCAATTATTTTCGACTACGTAAAGTGTTTAAGTACACTACGGAGCATGACAACACTTTAGAAAAAGTGGGATAATTGAATAGATTTTTTTCATTTCGTAGTAAAGTTTGTTATTTTCAAACTATTTTAGCGAATGAATGGTAGGCGACGGAAGATGACCCAGCCAAATGGTGAAATGTTTAAAGATAGACATATATATCACTGAATTTAGACCCTAAAGTATAGAGATAGAGAATTCACTTGAGATCAAAAATCTTGGATTTAATCCCCAATATGGTTGTGGGTACATATTCCTGAAGAGTCCCATAAACGGATGAGACAGACATCTATTGCTTAATCGTTTTCAATGACTGTCTAGATAGTATCAGTTTAAGGTTTTAAATATAAAAATGAATGTGATCAAAAATGGACTTGTTTTTTTATAACTGAAATTGTCAATTGTCAATTGAAGCTAGATCACTATGGAAAACCTGAAAGCACTGGACGGCAGTTTCGTCCTATTGTGGGACTCCTTAGCAGTACGCATCTACTACCCCGCCCCGCGGGATTCGAATCCAGAGTTTATCAATTCCGCACATGAACGCTTAACCTCTAGACCACTGAGTCAGCTTGCATCCAACGGTGTTAATGTCTAACTTCAACCATTCCACGAAATTGAGCAACCATTCAGAAATGTCTTCAGTGAGTTGATATATCACAACAGACCTGTTTGAACTCCACTGGTCACTGCTTCCCACTCGAACTCCAGGAAATATCTCTTGAAGTCAGTAACTAGTGAGCATATGTTGATTAATATGAGAAAACGTTTTGTGAATATTATAGTAATTTCAATAGATTAGATCATGAGTCAATCGAAGCTAGACCACCATAGAAAACGTGGAAACACTGATTGATCCTCGATTCGAATCTCGTGAGGCAGGATCGTGGATGCGCACTACTGAGGAGTCCCACAATGGGAAGAAAAGGTTTTCCAATGCTTCCAGGCTTTCCATGGTGGTCTAGCTTCAACTGGCTCATTATCTCAACTATTGAAATTACTAAAAATCTCCACAAACCTCCCTTTGGATAACTTTTATGATAAACTGTTCGTTTGTTTGTTTGTTTTTCTTTTCCGATTGTTTGTCGATGATCTGTTAAAATAAATCACTTAAACTTCGACTTATTTCAAGGGGGAAGATTTAAAACCCAGTTTGGCTTAATTCAGTTTAATTTAATGAAATAGTGATAGATCTATTAATTTCTTATTGAAATAACCTTAAATTGAAAAGCCAACAGTAAAGCCAACGGTTTATCATGTCCATAATTATTATAATCTTATCTTTGTATAAACGTAAATACAATGTAAATATATACGAAACAGCATCCAAATGTTATCTGTTCACATCTTTCTTTTAAAGGAGAATAAAGTAAAGTACATCCTGAAAGGTGATTTTACAAAACACCAATCAATTCTAATGTGGTATGCACTACTTATGCAGACCGATATAAGTAGTATGTAACAGTAATTTGAAGAAGAAGAAGAAGAAGAAGAATGGTTACCATCAGAATAGCGAAATGAAGCATAAAGTAAAGAAAATGAAAGGCGATCGAAATAACAATATGATCGGTAGAATGATGAATAACATAAAGGACAACCCAAGAAGGATATGCAAATGATGTATTTAATGTACGATTTCCATGTTTTAGAAAACTACTGTATCACTACTACACTAGTAATTATACTTTGTTTATGTTTATAATTATTTCTTTGTCCAAGAGGTTAGTGGTTAAGTTTACTAAGATTGTAATCAGCTTTTTCCTCTGATAGACAGATATAAACTTGAAATTCACTTAAAGTCAATAAACACTTGATAATTGTTGTTTTGTTTATATCCCCTCATCATCATTATATTATTAAAGTCCACATACTGGGTCATATATCATTTGTCCTACTATATTGTAAATAGATTAAAGACATAGTATGGATCAAAGGATTCCATTTCTTCAATGGCTGAATGGTATAGTACTTTCTGTGAGACCTAATGTTTACAGAATTTAATCTCATATAGAGTAATGTTTATGTGAACACTACTGAATTCATTAATGAAAACAGTTAATTTGGTCCAAGATACATCAAAGACTGATGTTAGTTAGACAACCATTAAAAACCAGGGAGTATTGGATAACTAGTTCGTTGTAATATGGAATCCCTTAAGTGTGCTCATCCATATTACCACCCGATATCAAACTCAGAGCCTACAAACCAAGCAGCGACTACTCAATCGGCATTTCATAGTTTAAATTTCTTAAATTCAGTCAATTTTTAATATTGTAAAACAGATGTCTACTTCCTTCAGCGATACTTGTTTCAAGCCCAATATGCTTGAACTGTACAGACCATGTACACGATTAGATATCGATTCAGCAGTCCGAAGGCTAAGTTACCGTTACAACTACCCATGGTTTTATGTTCGATTCCCTTTAGGTTCATGAATACACTCTGATTAGTAGTTGTGGATGTGCACTGCTGAAGAGTTCCATACTCAGACAATACAGATGTTTGGTGCTTTTCGATTTTTAATGATCAATTTGTAATACAAACGAATAAACTGTCTGCTATTCTATGGTTTTTAATCAATTTCCAACTGTCATCAGTTTGTAACGAGAATCATTGTCAAAATACAAAAAACCGTATCAACTATGAGAAAATGAATATTTAACAAAAAAGAAAAGAACAATGCTCAACTCACCTTCACTACAATCTGGTTCTTCCCATGGTGTATCCAATATTGGAGGAAAATGTAATGTTTGTGTTGGGATAAATTCTTTATTAATAATAGTATTAGTGATGCGTTTGTCAATAATATTCACATTAACATTATGATGATCCATAGTATTATTAGCATTAGTATGATTACAATGATTATGTATAAAATGAGTATTCATACAACTATTATTCTTTAAATTATCTATACTTGGTGCAATCATAGTTGTCATTACCGTAGTGGTAGTTGTTATCACAGTTGTAATTGTACTAGTTATCGGTGATATTGATTGTCTATTAGTAGATGGAGAAGAGAAAGCATTTGATACAACTTGTGCAATAGCATTGTCTACTTCAGCAAATGCTTTACTCATTGTTGTTAATGGTTCATTTAATCTGATCGGTTTCAAACAACCAACACGTGAATCTCTTCAAAAAGATAAAAGGGAGGGGGAAAGAGGGAACAAAACCAGTTAAATAGATAATTCAATGTTTATCTTTTTTGTGCATTATAAATGTTTACTACTCAAATGAGAGTATATAAATATAGAAAGCATATCTGATAGGAATTCATAAAATGGAAATTTATTTTGCCATCTAAATTATTCAATGATTTATTTTAGTGATAAAGATTTTATATGAAGTCAACGAACACCGAGATCAGAATTTTCAATACAAATGTCAAGACAGTTCTACTCTATGAGGCGGAAACATGGAGAACTACAAAAGCCATCATCCAGAAGATACAAGTGTTTATTAACAGTTGTCTATGCAAGATACTTCGGATCGGTTAGTCAGACACTATCAGCGACATTCCACTGTGGGAGAGAACAAATCAGATTCCAGAGGAGGAAGAAATCAGTAAGAAGCTCTGGAAGTGGATAGGACCGACATTGAGGAAATCACCCAACTGCGTCACAAGGCAAGCCCTCACATGGAATCATGAGAGGAAGTGAAAAAGAGGAAGGCTGAAGAACATATTACGCCGAGAAATGGAAACAGACATGAGAAGAATGATCAAAAGTTAGATAGAATTAAAAAGAAAGGCCCAGGACAGAGTGGGTTGCAGAATGCTGGTCGGCGGTCTATGCTTCGTTCGGAGTAACAGGCGTAAGTAAGTAGGTAAGTAAGTAAGTAAGTAAGTAAGTAAGTAAGTAAGTAAGTAAGTAATGGTTATTTTTGAGTTCGAAATACCTTCTGTAGTTAAACGGCTTAATATCTTAATAGAAATAAATTATACCTCAAAGTAAGTAGTTTAATGTATATTTCCAGTAACATGAGTCTACTTTAGACTAAATGAACAATGCGTAAACCAACAATGTATTCGAGCAGTACCCCTGCAGTACCCTACCGAACAATCTGTAATTGTTCGTACACACTCAACACTTAGCTAGTAAAACTGCTATGTTATCATTAACATTCAATCTGTTAAACAAGTGTACTGAAAATCTTTCATTGACTGATCATTTAATAGTGACTAATATTATGTACATCGACTGCTTTTCGAAGTGATCCACTTCGATTGATGAATTTGTAATGTCACCATTGGTTTAAGTGACTTGACATCGCATGCACCATGTTGAGATGCTAGGCGATTGTAGATAGTCGACAAAAAGCTATACTTGATCTAGGTTTCATGCGAATCAACACTCATCAATAAAGTGCACCTATAATTTCCCGGGAACTGTTTGTCCCTGGAAGAATTGATTACCTTCATTCATCTAAAATACTAGGGATATATAACTATATTTCATCATTGCCTTATTCAAGATTGATTTGAAATATATGAAATGCGCAGATTAAAAATATTGTCTATCGTTTGGTATCAGTATTATTCAAAGTTGTCGAAATCAACCATTTATAATTACGTAACAGATCATTAGCCTCATTATTTAATCGTTACTACTCTAATCAACATTTGATTTTGCACCAATATGAAGCAAACACACTCACTCATATAAACCATTTGATATAAGCAAAGATGGATAGTGGCTAGCAGTGGAATTCAAAACGCGCATTTCGTCCCATTTGGAACTCGTCAGCTGGATTTATCTGCATCTCAGAGTTGACGCTCACTCTGGTACTCGAACCCAGTACCGTTCGCTTCAAACGCCATCGCGTTATCCACTCAGCTACTGAGTCCTTATAGCCACTTGCTTGTTTAATGGGGTGAAGTTTAAATTCACTTAATATTGTTTGTTTCAATCTTTCCATTGATATTTAGGACTGCAATTGATGAGTCTCTAATTGGCATATGTGCATACTGTGCGTATTACCTCGATATAGCCTTAATTCACAAGCATTATAAGAAACTGATCAGTTGCAGACGTAAACATCATTAGGAAGATTCAAACAAACAATGCTAAGTGAATTTAAACTATTTGATACTTTATATAAGTCAATTAAAAATAATTTTTATACCATCGTTTCAAATTGATCATCTATGATAAACTATTATTAATGAAATGTTAATGACCTTTTAATTTACACTTTTTGTATTTGTACAGTGTACAGTAGTCACTGGTTTGTATGCTATTTGAACAAATTTATAACAATATCCAACTGTTTACATTCAAATTGTTAAAACTCGTGACTTGGATGCCCTGGTAATGTATAACGCGACGATGCCACCAATTAGAAAGCAGTGAATTATCGATCGCAACAATGACGCAGAAAACCCGTGTGAGCAGTCAAGAGTACCTATCGGTCTTGCTTTCTGCCTAGTCCAGCCAGTTAAGTCTAAAACACTTATCTCAGCTTCTACGGTATGAATCCTTTTTTATTTTTCATACTGAGTTTATATACCAATCAAACAGACTACATCGTACCATAAAATAGAAAGTAACATTTGTAGAAGATTCGGCCAGATGTGGTTGTGAATGTAGGGAGCAGTAATTAATAGACTGGGTATAATTCAAGAACGGTAATTCGTATAACAATAGTTTATAGGTCAAAACAAAGCTCATAATAAGGGTGTCAGGAATATGAATAGTTGAATTACTTAACAATTGTGAGATAAAAAAATATATGCATAGTATTGGTCCGTAAATGGATCCCAAAAGTTACCATTCATTATTCTTATCAGGAGATAACACAAACCAAAGATTTATTTGATTTCACTTAGTATTGTTTGTTTGAAACTTCCCATTGATGTTTAGGACTGCAATTGATCAGTGTCTTATCAGCATATGTGCATACTTTGCTTATTGTCTTAATTCACAGGACTCAGTAGCTGAGTGGATAACGCGATGGCTTTTAAAGCAAACGGTACTGGGTTCAAGTCCTAAAGTGAACATCGACTCTGAGATACAGGTACATCCAGTTGATAAATCTCAAAATAGTACATAACACGCGTCCTGGATTCCACTGCTTGCCAATATCCATCTTTGCAAAGAATTATTTACTATCATTATCATTATCAATTAATTTTTATAAGTTTTCTGTTTTGCTATTTCATATTCTCTCATGAATCAATCTCTTAGTTTGTATTTAATCCCCCCAAAGACCTCTATGTTTAATGCATATAAATAGAAAAGCTATAAAATCGCTATTCAGTTTCTCTCTTCTATTAGAAACAACTTTCTATATATCAAAGTGTTTTGATCTAATTTTATTGTGTAATTTTAGAACAGAACACAGTTTGTTTGTTTTATTCGTTTAGGTGAACTAAATATGTGGTTCCTGCTGTGAAATGAATTACGTATGCATATTTACTTGTGTATATTAGATTGATGATAAGATTATTACAATGAAAAATGTAATTAGTAAAAAAGAAGCCATTAATTAATTAATTACGCGGAGGTAATTATATTATTCAGGTTAATGTTTTTATTGTCAAGGTTGTTTTCTACGAGATGGGGTTGCTGACCTAATAATCAACCTTCCTCTTTTGTATGAACTTGCGACCGGTAGTGGCCCTAGAAGAACAACAGGTAGAGTTCTTGGAGAACTACCACAACCATCTTCAAAATGGTACAAGTATTTAAAAACCTTTGTCTGCACAAGATACTAAATGCCTGTTGGACGGATACCATCAACAATAGCCTACCGCAGAAGAGAACAAACCAACTTCCAGATGAAGAGGAAATTAGGGTAAAGACATCGTCAGTGGATAGAACACATATTGAGGAAATCATCAATCTGCATCATGAAGCAAGCGCCTGAAGGGAAACAGAAAACAGAAATGCCAAAGAACAAACTGGGTCGGAAATTGGAAGCAGACATGAAAATGATGAATAACAACTTGAAAGAACTGGAAAGGATTGTCCAGGACGGGGTTGGATCAAGAGTACTGATGAAAAGCTTATTTTCCTCTATGATGGAGGAATATTTGAAAATCAACGTCATTACAGATATTGACATACTTACAATAAAATACGACGGTGATTAAAAATGAATATATGTATCATGATGTAGCGAAGATTCTAATAGAATTAATAAGGTCACTAAAAGAAATATTTCTTTCGAATAAATAAAGTTTAGAAGGTAAAGTTCCAGAACATTGAAATAATAAACAGAACTCATAGAGTTAACAAACCTTAGATGATTGTGCAATGAAACAAATGAGAACAGATTAATCGTAATAAAGAAAGATATGAATTGAAATCAATCAGTTATAAATGGAAGAAAAATGACAATGATGTAATCAAACTTCAGAAAGTGTTGAAATAATGAATGACGTAATAAATCAAAAGAGATGTAATGTTACCAGAGCAAAGAAAAATTTATTACTGCCTCTTTTTAGATACATAGGTCTAGTTTTGGACGTTTGATCACTATAGCAACGGTAAATTTCAAAAGGTTGGGGTTATTATTATTATTCTGAATCAATCATCATTCTTAATCTCTTTAAGGAATAGACACATTAAACTGAATGAAGGATGTTTTCTACACAGAACATAGACTTCATACTCATTATTAAACTTTGAAAAATTCCCATATTCTGATTAAGAACAACATATAAAAGCGAAAAATATTGTTTTCGATTAGATCCTCATCAGGCTTTACTCTAATATCTAATGTCTAACTTCAACCAATTCACGATTTTGAGCGACCGTTCAACAATTATCTTCAGTGAGTTGATGTCTCTACAACAGACTTGGTAGAACTCCACTGTCCACTACGTCCCACTAGAACTCAAGGAAACATTCCTTACAGTCAGTCACTAGTGAGCACATAATTATAGATCAGAGAGTGTTTTGTGGAGAATTTAGTATTTTCATAGTTGAAATCATGGGTCAATTGAAGCTAGACCACCATGGAAAACCTGAAAGCGCTGGACGGCCTTTTCGTCTTATTATGGGACTCCTCAGCAGTTACATAATAGGAAATAGGTCAATGATTAGAAAAAATATAACATTCATAAAGATTATAAGATTATATAATAATAAGTGTTCAGATAATTGGACCGTGAAGCGAATATTTGAAAAAATAAATAAATAATTGGTAAGAGGGGGTGAAGGAAAATAAACGAAGAGTGAATGGAAAACAAAATCACTTATAAGGGCCAAGGGAGAGATAAGGGTGTTACAAATTTCTTATGAACACAAAGGCTTGGATTCTTGGCTCGAATTCCAATACCTTCTGCTATGTGTACGAGACGAGATCGAACCCCATAAGGAAAACTAGTAGGTAGACGATAAATAACTTCAGTTGACTGGTTTCTGTCAACTATATGACCGCTATCGATCAAGTGTGAAAGAACCGAGCTTCGTATTGACTTGATAATACCTTTTCCTAACCACGAAGGGAGGTGTTCACTAACTCTTTGGTTCAGTTGTCTGGTAGTGGGTCCAATATAGCTTTCTCCACAAGAGTAGCTGAATTCATAGATACATATAGAAGTGGCATAACCAGGTAACTTATCCTTTAGTTGAAGAATCGACTGCCAATAATCAGTATTTATCATTTAAAGCTTTAAGATAGTTTTAAAAAATTTAAAAATATGACATATTCTATGTTCAATAACCAGAAAACAAAAAATGTCATTTTGAATGATTAATTACAGTGATAGTGAATAACTCATATTGTGTATATTCTAACTATTAGTTTTCAAATTCCATTATACTTGTCTATAGAAATGATAGGTATTTAGTAGTATCACAAGGAGGTTTATGGAGATTTTAGTAATTTAATGATTGAATTCATGAGCCCATTGAAGCTAGACCACAATGGAAAACCTGGAAGCACTGGATGGCTGTTTTGTCCAATTGTAGGACTGCTCAGCAGTGCGCAACCACGATGCCGCTTCGCGTTATTCGAACCCAAGACCTATAAGTCTGTTGAGGAGTACCACAATAGGACGAAACGGCTATCCAGTGCTTCCAGGTTTTCCATTGTGGTCTATCTTCAATTGACTCATGATTCAGTAGTACATACATTAACAATATCAGAATGTATTGAATGCTAAAAAGCGTTTCTATTTTGACGTATCTGTTATATCGTATGGGCCCGTAATTTATATGAACAAGCGATTAGAGAGGAGTGGATTTTACTGATCGGATGCAAATGATACTTGAAATACGTACGAGCAGTCTTGGGTGCTATTCCGTCCTTCCTATCTGCCTAGCCCAGCCCGTTAAGTCCAGAACACAAATAACAGCCTCGGCAATATGAATCATTATTTACAAACACACTGGGTTTTTATACAAACCAAAGTAATCAATAAACTGATTATAACTCAAGAATCGTATGATCATAAATCAAAGATCAAAATAAAGCTAATGATAAGAGAAACACAAATATGAATAATTTAGTTACGTAACAACTGTACAATAAGAAATAGGCATAATACATTGGTCGATAATAGACCTCAGATTTACGATTCATAATTCACCAGGGGATATAACACCTCCCCTTTTTGAGAAATCCGGAGTTGACATCCGGATTTTTAATTTCTCGAATTCATCCTCCCCCACGAAAGACTGTTGGATCCTCATGTACCCAAGTTACCATTATTGTGACATTATTTAAAACATATTCGTCGTATTTAACAGAAAATCCACCAGAACTGATTATATCGTGAGGATCGACGACATTCGATTTGAGGTCACCGGCGTCTGATTCTTTTGAAACACTTTCCTTGAATTTACTCGGAACCTCATTAGTAGATAATGAATCATTAGGATAATCAGTATCTATGAAATTTGTATTGGATTCTTGATTATCATTTAATGCATCCGATATTTTTCTCCCATTTTTATAAGAGATTTGAGCTGGAACATATGAATCAGCAAAATAATCGGGATCTGGCAGAACAATTAGATAATTTTGATCATTAGATTCATTAGAAAAATTTTCCGTATCATGAATAATTTCATTTAGCGCCTCTGCATTCAATATACTGCTCGATTTGCTTCCCATTTCTTCGTGGGCGGGTACTGCAGCAATTTCATGAGCATTTGACATGGCATCATGTTGCTGAGAGCTGGGAGCATCACTGTTCGGACCTGCTAATTCAGGGATAGTGGTGTTTGAATCCACTACCGGGCACGTTTCTGAAACAGGCAGCACCGGACTACTGGGCTGATCATGTAGGACTGTTACTGCTGCATCTAAATTACTGTTTTTCGCGGATTCATAGAGGCTTTCCTCTGCATATTCATTTGTTCTGTAATCGACTTCCAGTTCTATGCGCAATTTAGAAATCAATGCGTCAACTTCCGTTGCACCCCCAAAGCATGGGTGATTCAGCAGCGTCGCGTGTAACTTGTCAATGAAATCCAACTGACTCTTTTTAAAACGCTGCTCTTGTCTCTGAATTAGCAACTGAAATTGATCGGAAGTTAAAGCCATTTTTTTACCCCGTCGCCAGTTGTTATATCGTATGGGCCCGTAATTTATATGAACAAGCGATTAGAGAGGAGTGGATTTTACTGATCGGATGCAAATGATACTTGAAATACGTACGAGCAGTCTTGGGTGCTATTCCGTCCTTCCTATCTGCCTAGCCCAGCCCGTTAAGTCCAGAACACAAATAACAGCCTCGGCAATATGAATCATTATTTACAAACACACTGGGTTTTTATACAAACCAAAGTAATCAATAAACTGATTATAACTCAAGAATCGTATGATCATAAATCAAAGATCAAAATAAAGCTAATGATAAGAGAAACACAAATATGAATAATTTAGTTACGTAACAACTGTACAATAAGAAATAGGCATAATACATTGGTCGATAATAGACCTCAGATTTACGATTCATAATTCACCAGGGGATATAACACCTCCCCTTTTTGAGAAATCCGGAGTTGACATCCGGATTTTTAATTTCTCGAATTCATCCTCCCCCACGAAAGACTGTTGGATCCTCATGTACCCAAGTTACCATTATTGTGACATTATTTAAAACATATTCGTCGTATTTAACAGAAAATCCACCAGAACTGATTATATCGTGAGGATCGACGACATTCGATTTGAGGTCACCGGCGTCTGATTCTTTTGAAACACTTTCCTTGAATTTACTCGGAACCTCATTAGTAGATAATGAATCATTAGGATAATCAGTATCTATGAAATTTGTATTGGATTCTTGATTATCATTTAATGCATCCGATATTTTTCTCCCATTTTTATAAGAGATTTGAGCTGGAACATATGAATCAGCAAAATAATCGGGATCTGGCAGAACAATTAGATAATTTTGATCATTAGATTCATTAGAAAAATTTTCCGTATCATGAATAATTTCATTTAGCGCCTCTGCATTCAATATACTGCTCGATTTGCTTCCCATTTCTTCGTGGGCGGGTACTGCAGCAATTTCATGAGCATTTGACATGGCATCATGTTGCTGAGAGCTGGGAGCATCACTGTTCGGACCTGCTAATTCAGGGATAGTGGTGTTTGAATCCACTACCGGGCACGTTTCTGAAACAGGCAGCACCGGACTACTGGGCTGATCATGTAGGACTGTTACTGCTGCATCTAAATTACTGTTTTTCGCGGATTCATAGAGGCTTTCCTCTGCATATTCATTTGTTCTGTAATCGACTTCCAGTTCTATGCGCAATTTAGAAATCAATGCGTCAACTTCCGTTGCACCCCCAAAGCATGGGTGATTCAGCAGCGTCGCGTGTAACTTGTCAATGAAATCCAACTGACTCTTTTTAAAACGCTGCTCTTGTCTCTGAATTAGCAACTGAAATTGATCGGAAGTTAAAGCCATTTTTTTACCCCGTCGCCAGTTGTTATATCGTATGGGCCCGTAATTTATATGAACAAGCGATTAGAGAGGAGTGGATTTTACTGATCGGATGCAAATGATACTTGAAATACGTACGAGCAGTCTTGGGTGCTATTCCGTCCTTCCTATCTGCCTAGCCCAGCCCGTTAAGTCCAGAACACAAATAACAGCCTCGGCAATATGAATCATTATTTACAAACACACTGGGTTTTTATACAAACCAAAGTAATCAATAAACTGATTATAACTCAAGAATCGTATGATCATAAATCAAAGATCAAAATAAAGCTAATGATAAGAGAAACACAAATATGAATAATTTAGTTACGTAACAACTGTACAATAAGAAATAGGCATAATACATTGGTCGATAATAGACCTCAGATTTACGATTCATAATTCACCAGGGGATATAACACCTCCCCTTTTTGAGAAATCCGGAGTTGACATCCGGATTTTTAATTTCTCGAATTCATCCTCCCCCACGAAAGACTGTTGGATCCTCATGTACCCAAGTTACCATTATTGTGACATTATTTAAAACATATTCGTCGTATTTAACAGAAAATCCACCAGAACTGATTATATCGTGAGGATCGACGACATTCGATTTGAGGTCACCGGCGTCTGATTCTTTTGAAACACTTTCCTTGAATTTACTCGGAACCTCATTAGTAGATAATGAATCATTAGGATAATCAGTATCTATGAAATTTGTATTGGATTCTTGATTATCATTTAATGCATCCGATATTTTTCTCCCATTTTTATAAGAGATTTGAGCTGGAACATATGAATCAGCAAAATAATCGGGATCTGGCAGAACAATTAGATAATTTTGATCATTAGATTCATTAGAAAAATTTTCCGTATCATGAATAATTTCATTTAGCGCCTCTGCATTCAATATACTGCTCGATTTGCTTCCCATTTCTTCGTGGGCGGGTACTGCAGCAATTTCATGAGCATTTGACATGGCATCATGTTGCTGAGAGCTGGGAGCATCACTGTTCGGACCTGCTAATTCAGGGATAGTGGTGTTTGAATCCACTACCGGGCACGTTTCTGAAACAGGCAGCACCGGACTACTGGGCTGATCATGTAGGACTGTTACTGCTGCATCTAAATTACTGTTTTTCGCGGATTCATAGAGGCTTTCCTCTGCATATTCATTTGTTCTGTAATCGACTTCCAGTTCTATGCGCAATTTAGAAATCAATGCGTCAACTTCCGTTGCACCCCCAAAGCATGGGTGATTCAGCAGCGTCGCGTGTAACTTGTCAATGAAATCCAACTGACTCTTTTTAAAACGCTGCTCTTGTCTCTGAATTAGCAACTGAAATTGATCGGAAGTTAAAGCCATTTTTTTACCCCGTCGCCAGTTGTTATATCGTATGGGCCCGTAATTTATATGAACAAGCGATTAGAGAGGAGTGGATTTTACTGATCGGATGCAAATGATACTTGAAATACGTACGAGCAGTCTTGGGTGCTATTCCGTCCTTCCTATCTGCCTAGCCCAGCCCGTTAAGTCCAGAACACAAATAACAGCCTCGGCAATATGAATCATTATTTACAAACACACTGGGTTTTTATACAAACCAAAGTAATCAATAAACTGATTATAACTCAAGAATCGTATGATCATAAATCAAAGATCAAAATAAAGCTAATGATAAGAGAAACACAAATATGAATAATTTAGTTACGTAACAACTGTACAATAAGAAATAGGCATAATACATTGGTCGATAATAGACCTCAGATTTACGATTCATAATTCACCAGGGGATATAACACCTCCCCTTTTTGAGAAATCCGGAGTTGACATCCGGATTTTTAATTTCTCGAATTCATCCTCCCCCACGAAAGACTGTTGGATCCTCATGTACCCAAGTTACCATTATTGTGACATTATTTAAAACATATTCGTCGTATTTAACAGAAAATCCACCAGAACTGATTATATCGTGAGGATCGACGACATTCGATTTGAGGTCACCGGCGTCTGATTCTTTTGAAACACTTTCCTTGAATTTACTCGGAACCTCATTAGTAGATAATGAATCATTAGGATAATCAGTATCTATGAAATTTGTATTGGATTCTTGATTATCATTTAATGCATCCGATATTTTTCTCCCATTTTTATAAGAGATTTGAGCTGGAACATATGAATCAGCAAAATAATCGGGATCTGGCAGAACAATTAGATAATTTTGATCATTAGATTCATTAGAAAAATTTTCCGTATCATGAATAATTTCATTTAGCGCCTCTGCATTCAATATACTGCTCGATTTGCTTCCCATTTCTTCGTGGGCGGGTACTGCAGCAATTTCATGAGCATTTGACATGGCATCATGTTGCTGAGAGCTGGGAGCATCACTGTTCGGACCTGCTAATTCAGGGATAGTGGTGTTTGAATCCACTACCGGGCACGTTTCTGAAACAGGCAGCACCGGACTACTGGGCTGATCATGTAGGACTGTTACTGCTGCATCTAAATTACTGTTTTTCGCGGATTCATAGAGGCTTTCCTCTGCATATTCATTTGTTCTGTAATCGACTTCCAGTTCTATGCGCAATTTAGAAATCAATGCGTCAACTTCCGTTGCACCCCCAAAGCATGGGTGATTCAGCAGCGTCGCGTGTAACTTGTCAATGAAATCCAACTGACTCTTTTTAAAACGCTGCTCTTGTCTCTGAATTAGCAACTGAAATTGATCGGAAGTTAAAGCCATTTTTTTACCCCGTCGCCAGTTGTTATATCGTATGGGCCCGTAATTTATATGAACAAGCGATTAGAGAGGAGTGGATTTTACTGATCGGATGCAAATGATACTTGAAATACGTACGAGCAGTCTTGGGTGCTATTCCGTCCTTCCTATCTGCCTAGCCCAGCCCGTTAAGTCCAGAACACAAATAACAGCCTCGGCAATATGAATCATTATTTACAAACACACTGGGTTTTTATACAAACCAAAGTAATCAATAAACTGATTATAACTCAAGAATCGTATGATCATAAATCAAAGATCAAAATAAAGCTAATGATAAGAGAAACACAAATATGAATAATTTAGTTACGTAACAACTGTACAATAAGAAATAGGCATAATACATTGGTCGATAATAGACCTCAGATTTACGATTCATAATTCACCAGGGGATATAACAGTATCAATTGATGATGAGTCAAAAACTCTTAAAATAAGTTCACAAACTGATCAGTGACTCTTCACTTCTACTTGTCAAAACAACTTTTGACATTCATTACATTACAACTGGTCGTAAATGTTTTAATTTCTGGTCAAATGTTTCATATTATCAATAATAACTGATTCTGATTGTGCGAGTAATTCAAGTGACAGGAAAGATTTGTAGTTATGATGGAAGATGTTTTCAATGTTATTGTTGTCTTTGAACTGAATAATTTAACACTAATGCTTTTATGGTGGTTCTGGACAATGTCACCAGCACTCAATTGGTGTAAATAATTATTTAGTCATTTTTATTATCATTGAGTGATCAGTCCAACACCCCCGCCGAAAAGATCAAGAATGGTGGGTGATTTTTTATATCCGGAAGAAGAATAAATCAATCGTAACTGTAAGAATCTATTTATGGACTGTTATTATGCATATATATTCTTATTGGATAACTATTAGGTAATTATATTATATATCCATTTATTATATATCCATCTTTGCTTATAATGCTTGCGAATTAAGGCAATATCGAGACAATACGCACAGTGTGCACATATGCCAATAAGAGACTGACCAGTTGCAGTCCTAAACATCAATGGGAAGTTTCAAACAAGTAATACTAAGTGAATTTAAACATCACGTCATTGCGTCGGCGTTCTAATTGATATAATTAACAGGGTATAGAACACAACAGTCATTGACCCCTACTTATAATGTAGCGTTTTAACAGTAAAGCCTCTAATCAGAACACACTACTACTCTGGTCTAATAACAAGTTGAGATCATAAAAAATTTAGATTATACAACAGCTATTTATTGAACTGACCATGATGAATAAATTGACTCAACAATTATTTAAATAATCAAAGTTAGTTGGACTTAAAAAAAACTTCTTCAAGAAGTAACATCAATTAGAAAACTATCGGAAACTAGAAAGTACTCGATAAATGTTTCATTCAATTCCTTTCTTCCTTCTTTAGGATCTCTAAGAACCCATCTACTGTGAAATCTAAAAGATATAGATTCGAGCTTGTGTATGAATGATTAAGAAGATACAAACTAAAATGATTGTCAAAATTAACTTACTTTACGTTATTATTATTACTCATAGTAGTATTATGTATATTAGTACTAACGGATGTAGTTTGTCCATTCATTAATTTAGTAACTTCATTTATTTCTCTATCAAATAAGACCATTTGTGGTATAAGTGTAGATCCTATTAACATAGCATTTGTGAAATTACTAGAATTTGATGGTGTACTCATGGATGATTCTACTGGTGGTGGTGTTGTTGTAACTTTTGTTGTGGATGTTTGAATGAAACGATTTGATGAAATAAGTCTGTTATTATTAGTAGTATTATTACTGTTAGTCATCTTTAATGGTGTTTGTCCAGATGATGATAAATTAGTAGTGAATGGTGTGAATATAGTTTGTGAATTTGGATAACGATTTATAAAATTACAAGATTGCTCATTTGTTGTTATCGTTGTATTTGTTCCTGGAATAATTGGTCCAGTTGTTAGTGTTGTTGTTATTATCTCATTTGATGAAGTCTAACAAGATAATAAGAAACATGGATAAGACAAATGAGAGAAAATGTTATCATTATTATGTAGTTTGCATCACGGACAAATATTGATTAGAAGTAGTTACCTATCAGTTGGATTGGATGATGGTTGTACAATGATGAGAAATAACTGAAGTTGGGATGGTGACTGACAGTGGAATCTAGAATGAGCGATTTGTCCTATTCATGATTCGTTGGTTCGATGTACCTGCATCTATGTTGATGTTTATACTGGGATTTGAACCCAATACCTTTGGTTTCAAATGCCCATTGCATCGTCCTCTGTGCCACTCAGTTTAGGAAGTGAGCTTTGTGAGCTGGATTCGAGTTCTGGTATGAATATCAACACTGAAATGAAGGCACATCCAGCTGACATGTCAGAAATAGAATAAAAGCCTTACTCCAGAACATTCTGTTAGCTATTAATCTATATTTAATTACTAACAAGGGAATCGAACAAGGAACAAACTACACACATACAATTTCTTTCATTGACTTGAAATCAGTATACGCAGTAATTTCAGTAGGATAATATGAATTCATCTTATTTTGTTAGATTCACACCAGACGATTACATAACCGATACTATTTCAATATTCAAAATTACAAGCGGAGTTGAAAAAACATTCAGGGGATGGATTTTGTTATATCCCGTGGAGAACTATGAATGGTAATTTTTGAGAACTGTTTATGGACCAATATGATATTTCCTATTGTATAATTGTTAAGTAACTCAACTACTCATATTCATGTTCCTTTTATTATAAGCTTTATTTTAACCCATACAATATTAATGTACGGTTTACCATTCCTGAGTTATATTCAGTCTACTAATTACTGTTTACCCTATTCACAGCTACATTTGGCTAAATCTTGTACAAATGTTATTTTCTATTTTATGGTACGATGTGGTCAGTTTGACTGATATATAACTTCAGTATATTGAAATATAAGGATTCATACAGTGGTGGCTGTTCTGGACTTAACTGACTGGGCCAGGCAGAAGCAGGACCGATAGGTACTCTAGACTGCTCGCACGGGTTTCGTGTATCATTGCTCTGATCGATAATTCGCGGCTCTCTGATTGGAGGTCTTATCACGTCATATATAAATTGGGCACTCACTCAATCGATATAACAACTGACGCTAGGAATGGGATACGAATATATTACAGATATAATTCGAAGTTAATATCAATGAATCAGTATGATGTAGTAAATATGAAAATAAAGTAAAAAAGATTGAATAGAATGTTAAAAATACATATAAACTGTAGAATAACTATTTTGGAACATCAGTTAGTATAACAGATAAAGATTATTCAACCACTGAAAAATACAACCTTTGAATATAGTTTGAATTAAGTCCAATTAGTTACAACTTATGTAGGGAGGATTTGTCGAGATTGTAGATTTGGCATAATTTAAATAACGAACTGATCTTAGCTAGACAATCATTGAAAACTTGAAAGCACTAGATGACCATTTTGTTCTAGTATAGAACTTAATCGGAATGCATTCTAAATTGAAACTAAATAACTAACCAGTACTACTTGATCTTGAAAAACTGGCTCTTTAGATGATGTTAATCTAAAGGAAAACATAATAAGATATGATCATTAGTAAAATAGCTTCAAGATGAATTTGATTAGGTTTTAGTCAGTATATATGTTTCAAGAGGATTTAATCAAGTTAAGAGTGAGTTAATTACCTACAGATGATGTTATAGAATGAGCGTCTTCATTACATTTTAGGTTGAATGAAATACGAATCAATGGATTCCAAATGAGTAACTTAATTGTATGATACCTTCAGAGAAATCTATACTTTCCAAAGGTTCGATTATGTATATTTACGGCCGCAGAAGTGGGAAACAGATAACAAAATATATATGTTCAATGAAACTACTCTATACCTTTAACATTTTAGGAATTTTATATGGTAAATTATTCAGTTTTCACACCATTCTGATTGGTTAAAAATTTTATATGGTTAAGATCATCAGTCAATTGAAGCCAGACCATCGTGGAAAACCTGGAGGCACTGGACGGCCGTTTCGTCCTATTATGGGACTCCTCAACAGTGCGCCGTTCAGTGTTTCCAGGTTTTCCACAGTGTTCTAGCTTCAAATGACTCGTGATCTTAACTAAATAAAATTACTAAAATCTCCACAAAACCCCCTTCTGATAATGATCATATCCTCACTAGTGACTGGCTCCATGAAGTAATTTCTGGAGTTCTAGTGAGAAGTCGTGGCCAATGGAGCTAATCCATGTCAGGTAGAGACAGGTACAATGGAAGACGGTCGCGCAATTTCGTGAATTGGTTGAAGTTAGATATTAACACCGTTGGATGTCGGATCAGTGGTCTATCGGTAAAGTGCTCTGGCGCGAGACTGGTATGTCCTGGGTTCGAATTCCGTGAAGCGGGATCGTTAATTCGCACTGTTGAGGAGTCCTAAAATAGGACGAAACGGCCATCCAGTGATTTCAGATTTTCCATGGTGGTATAGCTTCAATTGACTTGTGATCTTAACTATATAAAATTACTAAAATCTCCACAAAAATCCCCTTGTGGTTAAAAATTGCTTGCATTTTTCAGGGTCATTTCAAAAGTTACCGAAGTTAGTCAGTTAAGTTGGCTTGAACCAAACTTTACACTTACACTCTATTTTCTGAATAAATAAGCCTAATATCGACAGTCTTCAAACGATTTTTTGTATGAATGGATAAGTAAGATGGATAAAAATAATGAGTGAATATCTTATGTCATTATGGAGCGACTAAATCAAGACATCACATCTGTCCATAAAGGTATTAACTGTTGAATTGAATCTTGATTGTAGATTCAAATTATTCACTTTGGGGTTCATGTGATAACCTCAATCAATGGTTAGAGATAATGAGTGACACAACTCAGGATCACTCACAACTGTATAAATTCATTCACTTGTAACTGGTCAGTCTCTAATTGACATATGTGCATACTGTGCGTATTGCCTCGATATAGACTTAATTCATAAGCATTAGAAGCAAAGATGGATAGTGGCTAGAGGTGGAAACCAACAAGCGCGTTTCGTCCTATTTGGGACTCGTCAGCTGGATGTACTTGCATCTCAGAGCTGATGTTCACTTTGGGACTCGAACCCAATATCTTTCGCTTCAAACGCCATCAATGGGAAGATTCAAATAAACAATACTAAGTGAATTTAAACTTCACCGCATTGCACAAGCAAGTGTCTATCAGGGCTCAGTGGCCGAGTGGTTAACGAGATGGCATTTAAAGCGAAAGGTATTGAGTTCGAGTCCAAGATTGAACATCAACTCTGAGATGCAGATATATCCAGGTGACGAGTCCCATATATGACAAAACACGCGTCAAACTTGATTCCACTGCTAGCCACTATCCATATTTGCTTATAACATTCTTCATTGTTTAATCTTCCTCAATGGTAACTGTGGTTACTATAATTTAAATTTTTTTCCGATTCATCTTGTTAACGACATCTCACTTTGTCGATGTAATACATCAACTTGATCCAATGTAACACAATCACTTAAATCAATCATCAATTCACTGTATATATCTTAACCATTATAAGACTAATCGATTCACTTCTATAAAAAGAAAATCATTGTTTATTTAATCTATCTCTCCTAAACAACAAATATAATCTACTCAATATCATCTTTGAACAGGCATACACAAATCTACATGTATACGTACACAAATATCAACAAAATAAGGAATAAACAAACAGAGGTGTATGCCATAAGTTAACTGAAAACAATTACTCTATGTATAAATTTATCACATAACTACTCTTCTAATTTTCCATCTTGGCAAACAAATAAACTACTGAGAGAAAACAAAAATATACTATATCCCCTATATGACTTTACTCACTTGATTGGATAAAAGCATTGTAACATTTGGCCAATCATTGAATGAAATTAAATCTTGTCTGATTGGATTTGTAGTAAGAGTAGGAGTATTGTTAATAGTAGAGGTAGTAGCAGTAGTAGTAGTAATAGTAGTAGTGGCAGTGGTACTAGAAATAGTAGCGGTCACCGTTGTTATTGTTTTCGAGGTTATTGTATCATTTACACCATTACTCACTATAGATTGTGTATTAGTATTAGTATTAATGTTAAATGGATTAACTCCAGTGACTGGAATAGAATTAAGAGATGGTAATGAATGACTACCATTCCAATTATTTGATGTCATTGTCTGTGGTTTAAACTGTTGATTATTATCGGAAATAATAGGAATCTATATATGAAGAGGTAAAGAGAGAGAGAGAGAGAGAAAGAGATGAAGATTAAATATCTTTCATCTGCTTAACCTATTTCACACGAAACTAATTAAATAATAACAAAACTGAACACTTGAACATGTTTCAGTTGACATGATACTACTTAAAACAATTATTCAAAATATGTCAGCTTATATGTTCAACTTCATTCCACCAGAGATGTATTACAAGGCTTAATCAACGTAGTTCATGAGTTCATTATCATACATATAAATCTAAGCGAAATCATGAAATCTATCTGAATGAATACTGTCATGTAATGAAAAACCCACTTTAAATGGTAATTGTGATGAAACATTCAATTGATGACTCATGACATCGTTCTTACTATGAGTTCTGAAAATTCTCAAGTTGATGATGAGTGAAATTATGGTTCAGTACTATCTAGGTTTACATAATAGAACAGAAGAACTATTTATTAAACAACACTATATGCTTATAACTGAATAAATATAGATTAGAAGGGGTTTTTGTGGATATTTCAGTATTTTCATAATTGAAATCATGAGACGATTGAAGCTAGACCACCATCGAAAACCTGGAAGCACTGGACGGCCGTTCCGTATTATTATGGGACTCTTCAGCAGTACGCATCCACGATCCCGCCTCGCGAGCGAGATTCGAACCCAGGACCTACCAGTCTTGCGCCAAAGCACTTAACCACTAGACCACTGAGCCGGCATTCAATGGTATTATTGTCTAACTTTAACCAATCCATGATTTTGAGCAACCGTTTACCAATTGTCTTTAGTGAGTTGATATCTCCGCAACAGACTTGGTAGAACTCCACTGTTCACTGCTTTTCACTGGAACTCAAGGAAACATTCCTTACAGTCAGTCCCTAGTGAGCATATGATTATAAATATAGACTAAGAATTTTCAATCTCAATATCAACTCAATACATATTTTTACATTCATTCACTTAATCAAAGTTTGACAGGATAAAAGAATGTCGAAGAATATAACCACAATATTCAGAAGAAAGACAAAGTAAAACCTAACCAAAACCGTGATAATGCTATGACGTATCAATATTATGTACCTTCACAGTATGCTAGACCTATAACTACCAAAATTAAAGATGTTAGAGTATTTGCAATCATTTCTAATCATTTAATTAGTCAAACTCACTTTACAGGAAAGTTTCTAGTACTCCCAAGATTTAGATAAACGCATGAATAATCCTAAATCTTCATATCAGAACTAATTTTATCCTATCACTTTATTGAGTGATATAAGTCTAGAAGTTAAATTCATTTGGTATTGTTTGTTTGAATCTTCTCATTGATGTTTAGGACTATGTGAGATCAGTCTCTTATTGGCATATGTGCATCGTGTGCGGATCGCCTCAATATTGCTTTAAGTCACAAGCATTTTAAGCAGTGAAATCCAGGACGTGCATTTCATCCTATTCGGGACTCGTCAGCTAGATGTACCTAGTTCTCAAGACTCAGAAGCTAAGTAGACAACGTGATGGCGTCCGAAGCGAAAGGTATTGGGTTCAAGTCCCGAAATAAACATCATTTCTGGGATGTGGGTATATCCAGCTGACGAGTTCCAAATAAGAAGAAACGCGCATCCTAGATTCCACTGCTAGCCACCATCCATCTTTTTCTAGAAGTTAATTAAAAAATTCGATATTACGAATGTATAGAACACTAAAAGTTCTTTTCCCAAGAGATTCATCATTATTGATTCAGGATAAAATAAAACTATTTCTAATATATGATTGATCTTCGAACAGAATTAGCGTAATTTACTACTAATATTTTCATAGTTGAAAGCATTAGTCAATTGAAGCTAGACCACTAGGCTAAACCTGGAAGCAATGGACGGCCATTTCGTCCTATTGTGGGACTCCCCGGCAGTGCGCATCCACGAACCCAGGACTTATCAGTCTCTCGCCAGAGCACTTAACCGATAGACCACTGAGTCGGCATCCGATGGTGTTTATGTCTAACTTCAACCAATCAACAAAACCCTTTCTGATATTACTAATAATAATTTGAAAAAATAATCTGTAAATAATGTACAGTCACAATGAGCAGGTATGTGTCTTTTATTATAAAACTTCTAAATGAGAGCTGAACAGTGGTTACGCTGTCATGATGGAATTTAAAAGAAGTAAGCTTATTATAATAAAATACACATAACATCATTCAATGACCCTATTGATGTGTTTCATGGTTTTCTCTTGGTTTAAATGTTGTTTTCTATCTTAAGCTCTTTGGTATTAACTAAAGTACACTGAGAGAAATTGCATGTTACTTACAATTACGATTAGCTACAAACTTACAATGGATTAATTTCCCTTAGATTATGAAATATAACCACAAAAAACTTATGGCTAATAAAAAGGACTCTTAATTAAATTAAGTTTATCAATGTTGAAGGCGTGAGTCAATTGAAACTAGACCACCATGGAAAACCTGGAAACACTGGACGGCCGTTTCGTCCTGTTATGGGACTCCTCAGCAGTGCGCATCCACGAACCCGCTCTCGCGAGATTCGAACCCATGACCTAACAGTCTCGAGCCGAAGCCCTTAACCGATAGACCACTGAGCTGGCATCCAACACTCGAGAGCGAGTTCGTGGATGCGCACTGCTGAGGAGTCCCATAACAGGATGAAACGGCCGTCCAGTGTTTCCAGGTTTTCCATGGTGGTCTAGCTTCAATTGACTCACGCTTTCAACATTGATAAATACTAAATCTCCACAAAACTCCTTCTATAAATTAAGTTTCTTATACTTAAACAAACTTTTTTAGTCGAGTAGTCTTTTTAGATACCTTTAATATAATTAAGTTGTCGTTTATAGTGAAATCTAGGATGCTAGCTTAGTCATCTTCAGGATTAATTAGTTGGATGTACTTAAATCTCAGTGTTAGTAGCCACAATGACACTAAATTTTGTAAGTATCACTTCAAATAGTAACGCTTTATCCAATATGTAATTGATTTTTGATAGTTACTAACTTATTAAAGTCTTGAATAACAGCACATAGAGAACATAAACACTCGAGAATAGTTTTCTTGTTTCATTTGGAGAATGAATGTATCATTTTGAGAAAACATAAACTATGTTATATTTGAGAATAAAAGGTAGTGTACCTTGATATTTATTATATAGTGACTGACTGTAAGGAATGTTTCCTTGAGTTCTAGTGAGAAGCAGTGATCAGTGGAGTTCAACCAAGTCTGTTGAGAGATATCAATTCACTGAAGACTATTGGTGAACGGTTGCTCAAAATCATGGATTGGTTAAAGTTAGACATTAACACCATAGATGCCGGCTCAGTGATCTATCGGTTGAATGCTCTGGTGCGAGACTGGTAGGTCCTGGGTTCGAACCTCGTGAGGTGAGGTCGTGAATGTGCACTGCTGAGAAGTCCCACAATAAGACGAAAGGGCAATCCAGTGCTTTCAGGCTTTCCATGGTGGTCTAACTTCAATATACTCATGATTTCAACTACATAAGATTTTAAAGCTTTCAAGACTGACAAGAAGTATAAACCTACCAATCAATTGAACTGTTAAAAAAAACAGTTCATATTTACAACCACAGGTAATGTAAGATTTAGCATGGCTATCATTCAACGAGATCTTTAACTACAACTGTTTCTGTTTCATCTGCAAATATTACACTCTACATATTGAGTTGATTGAAGTTGGAAATATGCACCATTGAATTATGAATTAGTGTGAAAGTTTTCGTAATTTCAAAGAATTTCCAAAGTTTTATATTTCATCACCTGTTTCTACACTATTTAGTCGTCTCAAGCTACAGGGAAAAGTCTGTTTGCTGGCAATTAGTTTTTAATATGTCGTCAATAGATATTGGACTGCTATAAAAATGATCTTTGAATGATAATTTTCCCTAGTATTTTATGATTCTTATTTAAAACTATTTATGTCTTAGTGAAAGGAAAATATGAATACAGAATCCAATGAAAAATAAACAGTCAAGAATAAGCACATTACATCTATACACATGTATTATCTAGATCGTGAACCGATCTAAGCTAGATAACGATTGAAAACATGAAAGCATTGAACGGTCAGTGGAGTTCAACTGTATACAGTATGAAGACGTTACCCACCAAAGAAGATAGTAGCGTAATATAATGAATTGATTAGAGTTAGATCTGTACACTGAATATTGAATATTCATTGAATATTCATTTATAACGGGTCTCTTACCAGGTTGGAACAACCATCAAGTGCCTCCAAACTTTTAATGGTCTACTAAATTAGATCGATTCGTGATCGTAATAAAGTCCAACAATCTCTGCAACCCTATACTAATTGGGTCGGTAAAAACATATAAACATTGAGAAAACAGAACATAAAGGTAGATTTGTTTGGCACACTCTCTTTCTCTCTCGCTCATATAAGGCACAACGGTATGTAGAATAACAATAAGAAAACTATATACTACTTATGAGTCTTTTTTGTCAGTATTTACAAAAATAGTCATTAACTAAGTGAGAATAATAGGGTAATTGAAAAGACTTCATTTCTATTCTAAAGTTGATATATGTAAGTTAACTTATTCTTATACATTCTAATCTGAACTTAATACAATCATCTATTAAAAAAATTTATAATTAACTAATTTGATTTTATAAGAATATTCGTCTAAATTAGAACGAATAGTTTCACAGTATTTGGGTGCCGAGTTAATATCAGTCAGTCAGTAACAACGTAGAACTTCGTACGTACCCACATCACTTCGAGTTGTCATACCACATTAACAAAGAGATGCAGTTGTCGATTCAAATTACATAGTGGTAGAAATAGTAAGAGTATAAAGAGTAATCAAAAAGATTAGGGTTTGAAGATGTTATTCAAGAAGTATAATCCAGTGAAATAAATTTGGAAAGAGAAAAAGGATAGGGATATGAAGAATTCGGAAGATTAGACTTTGGGAGAACACAAAAAGTGGATGCACCTACTCCATTGTAAACGATTTTGAGCCATTTCATTCAAGGTCTTTAACCATCGATTGCCATCATCTAGCAGATCTCAACCACGTAGTCTACACCTACCGGCATGGCTCAGTTCACTTGTCAGTGACTTCATGGATTTGTGCCAAGTTTTGGTCTGGTCGCCCCTAGCCGAGTTAATGTAAGACATTAAATAGTTTCATTTGCTATATATATTTTTTCATGAAAGATAGATTTAATTAGAGAACTTCTTATATAATTCATTAGCTAGTCAAAGTGTTCAGTAATAGTATGAATAAAGTAACATTTGATGGGAGACTCGTCAGCTGGATATACCTACATTTCAACCAACACCAAGATCAGAATTTTCAATACATATGTCAAGACAGTTCTACTGTATGGGGCGGAAACCTGTAAAACTACGAAAGCCATCATCCAGAAGATACTGGGTGGTGGTGGTGGTGTGATGGATGTTTTTGATGGAGTTTTGTTCTCTGAGCTGGATGGTTTGGTCGTGGAGCTTCTGTCGTCCTTCTGAACGACAGCACAAATTTGGGGTAGAAGTACATATATGTATATATTTAATGAGTGAATAACCTGACTTACCTTGAAATCATCTATAGTTGTAATTTTTGATATACCACCGGAACCTTGTTAAAAGAGAAAAAAGAAATGACGAAAAACGAATAAAATATGAAAATTTATCAAGTTAAAATAAATAATTCTCTATTAATAAGAATAATAATATTATAATCATTAAATTTTTATCAGAACAGGGTTTTGTGGAGATTTTAGTAATTTTATATAGTTGAAATCATAAGTCAATTGAAGCTAGACGTTCATGAGGAGTCTCATAATGGGACGAAACGGCCATCCAGTGCTTCCAGGATTTCCATGATGGTCTAGCTTCAATCGATTCATGATTTCAAATACATTTTATAAAATATAAATGTAGATAGTAAATAGTCATTGAAGTTCTTTACGTCATAGATTGATCTACATTGAAATATCATTGAGAACTAGGGAAAGCATTGATAGTAGTTGAAGTTGAACTATTGGATGTCAATCTAATGTTCTATTAGTTAGGCGATTTCTTAGAAACTTAAAGGTCTGGTATTCAACTTCTGACGGTACTGTGAATGCTGACTGATTAAAAGTATTATACCAAAATGAATTAGCTGTTCAATACTATTTGGTTTTTAGTGATACCCCGAACGAGATCAGTCTATGAAGCATGAAAACCTATAAACTAAACAAATCACAATAGAACACTAACTAAATAATCATGTTACTAAGTACGCTGAAATGATAAAGAAACTTTTCTTTTTTGCTCAAATAGGTGCATTTTATTTGGTGCAACATTCTCTCAATCGGTTGGTTCGATTGTGAAACTTTAATTTTCTTCATAAATCAACACAGACATTAGTGAGGCATTCTATGCTTATTATAATAAATTTCAAAGCTGTTTTTATTACTTAATAAGCAAAGATGGAAAGTGGCTAACAGTGGAATCCAGTTTGACGCGCGTTTCGTCCTATTTGGGACTCGTCAGCTGAATATACCTGCATCTCAGAGTTTATTTTAACTCTAAATTTAAACTTCATTCCATTGCACAAGCAAGTAACTATCAGGGCTCACTAGCTGAGTGGATAAAGCGATGGCGTTTGAAACGAACAGTACTGGATTTGAGTGAACATCAACTCTGAGATACAGATACACCCAGCTGACAAGTCGCGAACAGAACGAAACGCACGTCGTGGACTCCACTGCTAGCCACTATCCATCCTTGCTTATAATGCTTGTAAATTAAGGTTATGTCGAGACAATACGCATAGTATGCACATATACCAATAGGAGACTGATCAATCGCAGTCCTAAACATCAATGGGAAGATTTAAACAAACAATATCAAGTGGATTTGTTTTCACAACTGTTTTCATTTATTATATTTTCTACATGTATACATTAAATTCATATTTTCATCTCTGTACCACCACATATAATGTTTTTCTGAAGAATACATAAACTAGACAACTTGATGTTGATCGAAATTGATGGGTTATGACTGGTACTGTATGCGCTACTTATGCGAACAGACGTAAATAGTACATAACAGCAATTAAAAGTGGAATACTTACCAACACAATATTGAAATGAAAAGAACAGGAAGGAAAACGAAGAGTAATCAAAATGACAACAGGGTTCAAGGAATGATGGAGTATGTAAAGGACAACTCAAGGAAGATATCTTAATGATATGTTCGATGTATGATTTTCATATTTTACCAAGAGACTATATGATTTGAGCCTTCGTTCACTACACTAGCAGTAAAATCTAGGAAGTGCATTTCGACTTTATGCTGACTTGTCAGTTAGATTGACTCACACCTCGGTGTTATTGCATATACTGAGATTTGAACTCAGTATTTTATTCTTCAGATGTTCAACACTAGAGTACACGTAAATCTAACTGATAAGTTTCAAACAGAATGAAATGTGAATCCTTAATTCCACTATGAGTCACAATTCATCTGTTCTACATAAGTTGTAACAGAATCGTTATATCGGGTGATCTGTACATGATCCACACACATATGCTTAATAAAATTGGTTAATGATAATATCGCTGACAAAATAATCGCAATCATTTTGTTGTAATAACATAAACTGGATGATCAGAAGGTTTTGTGGAGATTTCAGTATTTTCATAGTTGCAATCATGAGTCAATCGAAGCTAGACCATCATGGAAAACCTGGAAGCATTCGACGGCCGTTTCGTCCTATTATGGAACTCCGCAGCTGTCTAGTGCTTCCAGGTTATCCATGGTGATCTAACTTCAATTGACTCATGATTTTAACTATGAAAATAAACTGGATGTTTAGCTAGTTTTTCTTAGTTCAAGTTGCTTGTAAACAATATTACATTTGTTATAGTTGAAAGCGTGAGTCAATTGAAGCTAGGCCACCATGGAAGACCTGGAAACACTGGACGGCCATTTCGTCCTATTATGGGACTCCTCAACAGTGCGCATCCACGAACCCGCTCTCGTGAGATTCAAACCCAGGTCCTACCAGTCTCGAGACGAAGCACTTAACCGATAGACATTACATCTGGTTTATTTTCGTTTAAGACTTATTAGCAGTTAAGAAAATAAATCTGTAATTCGATGAAATTTCATCCCTTCAGAACATTATTTGCATAAATACATATTATAAACAGAAGGATGTTTTTGTGGAGATTGAGTATTTTCATAGTTGAAATCACGAGTCAATTGAAGCTAGACCGCCATTAAAAACCTGGAAGAACTGGACGGCCGTTTCATTATAGTGAGAAGCAGTGACCAGTGGAGTTCAACCAAGTTTTTTGTACAGATGTCAACTCACTGAAGACGATTAGTGAACGGTTGCTCAAAATCATGGATTGGTTAAAGTTAGACATTAACACCATGGATGCCGGCTCAGTGGTCTATCGGTTAAGTGCTCTGGAGCGAGACTGGTAGGTCCTGGGTTCAAATTTCGCGAGGTGAGGTCATGGATGCGACTGTTGTGGAGTGACAATTATAGGACGAAACGACCGTCCAGTGATTCCAGGTTTTCCATTATGGTCTAGCTTCACTTGACTCACGCTTTCAACATATTATAAAGTCTATTTTATTATTATTACTATGAAATCTGTTGGACTGATTTGATGTCATTGTTTGACCTCACATAGCTTTCTTTCAACCTACACAAGAAAGCGTGGTAAATTCACACCGACTAAGGTGTCCCTATAACCCACCAAATACTGGATTGCTGTTTTCTTCAGAGTATGTGACTTTTTAACTATACAAACACATTATGCTATCAAAGATTGATTGCTAAATCAATAGATTTTTGAAGTAGATGCTTTAATTTTAACTCATTTTCTTCCTACTTAGTAGTCAACATTTCCTATTTAAACTAATTTGTAATTTATTACAACAACTAATCAGTCCAATTGGTGACCAACTGCCGAACTTATGATACAGTTGAACTCCACTAGCCATGATGTATTCTCACTACAATTAAATCTTAAAAGTAAGAAATACTTTTCATGGAGGGAGGAGTATGTGATAAGCTGAGCAAGCATAGACATATCACGTACCTGTGCTCACATGTCACGGGTGTGAAACCCTGAAAAGTGATATGCTAGTGAGAGAAGTGAATTGTGCACTTACTTATGGCCCCAGTCTGTATATCACTGTCTGTGCTGGAAGTACAATAGTATATGTAACTAAGATTTGTTTACATTAAAACTCGGTTAAGTAAATAAAACTTCATAGTCATTCCAGTCTTTTCTTTAGCAGTGTATGTAGAATTCTGTAGAAAGCTTACGTATTAATTTAACCGAATCCTTGGTAAGACACTAATTACATTTGTTTTGAAAATGATAATTACTGCACTAAAACTGACTCTGTTATATCTTGCCGCCTGTTTATTATCACGTGACAAGATAGCCAATTAGAATACCAACCTACATGACCTTGACACTGTGCCAAACCAATGACATGTTAACCAGTACAGGCAGCCAAGAGTTAACTCTGAATCCTTATCGGTTTCTCTTGCTTTGCCCTGATCTTTGAGTTCAAAACACAATTTCTACTTATTCTATATGAATCATGTATTTCAGACATACGCCGTTTATATACAAACAAATCAGACCACATCATATCATAAAATAGAAAATAACAAAGTGTCTATGATTGTCAGATACTGTTACTAATAAATCGGGAATAACTTATGAGTAGTAAACCATATAATAGTAGGCAAAAGGCCAAGTGGAAGCCAAGGGGAATATCAATATACATGTAATATATTTACTTAATAGTTGTCCAATAAGAATACATATATAATAACAGTCCATAAATAGATTCTTACAGTGACCATTCATTTATTCTTCGTTATGATATAACAAACTCTTAATATATTTTACGACTTATCACGTTATTATCAGAAGGGGCTTTTGTGGATATTATAGTAATTTTGATAGTTGAGACCATGAATCATCTGAAACTACACCACCATGGAAAACCTGGAAGCACTGGACGGCCGTTTCGTCTCATTATGGGACTCCTCATCAGTGCGTATCCACGAACCCGCTCTCGCGAGATTCGAACCCAGGACCTATCAGTTTCGCGCACGAGTGCTTAACTACTAGACCACTGAGCCAGCCGGCATCCAACGGTATTAATGTCTAATGAACTATTTACTACAGTAACAAAAAACAATATGATTTTTGATCAAATTTTTACAAAGAGATATCATGGGTATATTATACTAAACACCTGTTGTTTGTTTGCATGGTTTGTTTGTTCATTTATGTTACTTACATTCATAGATCTATGATAAGTTAGTTACCAATTTGTTACATTAAACAATCTGTTACTAAGATATTTATAAGTATTTCTTCACCAATTTTTATTGTCCAAATTTTAGTTCATACAAAAAAAAATCCCGCCCCCCTCCAAATGTTATTCAATGTGTAAATAGAAAATTATTATTTCAATAACTTAGCAACCAAAATATCAGATATTATTCAAAGTCAATAAGTCTTTCTTAAAAGAATAAATAACATGAACATTTATTCATTAGTTAAGATCAGAAATGAATAACAAATGGAAACTACAAGAAATGCTATTTATAGAATAATAAGGATCATATGGTCATTGATGAATAATTTTGAAAGGGAATCCTTGAAATTCTAATGAAGTACTGTATTCCATGAAGGTTAACTATGTTCAGTCTAGGGTCAGTCAGTCAATCAGCTACAACGTAGGACCAGGCACATATATGCATCGGTCCAAGTTGCCATACCTCACTCATTAGCACAACAAGATGAACACCGGATTCATAGAAGTAGTTAATTTAGTGGTGGTAATACATAAAAGATATGTTGTATATAAGGATATAGTATAGGAAAGAAGAAAGTTATGAAGCAATTTTAATCTCAAGTTTTAAGGGAAGATAAAGAGTGTATACACCTACGCCATTCTGATCGATTCTGAGCCATGTCACACAGAGTCTCCAACCATTGGTTACGATAGTCACGCGGACCCCAACCAAGTGGTCTACCAACATGGCTCAGAATAGAAATTAGTGACTTCAACGACTGATGTCACGTTTTGGTTTAGCCGCCCCTAACTCTCTTCCAACCATCGTTAATATTAGTAAGCATTGATGTTCAGGCATACGTACGATTAAAACTATACATGTCTAAAGGTTCACTCGTCGATACAAGATCTAAAAGTTCTTGGTTTTATTGTCAATGGAATATGCAGACGAACATTGCTGATGAAACTTATACTAGTTTAAAACAGCTGTCTAAGGCTTCCTGATTTCCAATAGTGGGTTAGTTTAGTTTAGTTTAGAATATAAATAATAGAATTTCATGGTCGATCAATCATAATGAGTACAGTAGTTTGTTAGTTCTGTACAGTAATGATTGGTTAGATGCTTAGTGACAAATAAAATTGTAAACCAGTTTTATAAAACAGATGTTACATTTTATTCAAAGAGTTAAACGATACTTAAAAACATTCCAATTTTTTCCTAATATGGCTTCACCATAACAATTATTACATTTAGTGGAATATAAGACAGACTGTCATTTTATTTTACACTTACTTAAGATAGAAAATCTGTAAAACACAAATCTATCTTGACAGATCTGAATGTTAGATGGTGGTTGGAAGTAATCAAGAAGAAATTCTGAACCTAGGTTTCGTGTTATTTGACACTCGTCAGCAAGGTGTATCTGTAATCTTGAAGAATTTAATGCTTTATGTCGGATTCAATTCCATTTTACCCAGCTTCATAGACAGAGACATTACCACTGAGCTATCTAGATTGCGACTGATTTCCTATAGAACTGAGATATATTTTCAATTACACAAAGAAGTACCTCACACACATAACATTTGTCACTACCCAGTGATCAATCAATAGGTTAACATTAACTTTGAAATATGACAATACAATAATGACATTTTTGTTAATCTAAATCGGTAAAAAATGATTCACCTTTTATGATAACATGTAACATTTTATAACTCATACACTTACCTGAAAGTGAACATGTGAAATTTGATACTGCTATTGGTTTCTGTAATTTACATAATAATCCATCTTGACGAAAATGATAATGATCAATTAGCTGAAACGAAGAGGAAATAAATCACATAACATATACACTGAAACTCATACCCAGTACCTTTCAGTTAAAACCCTTATATATTATCAATTGAGATAATATCCACAGCAGGACAATACATATCCTTACTAATACTCTTATTCCCCCAAATGCCCTGGTACGACCGAGAGTGGGGAGAGTCCGCTCTCCTTCTCCAAATGCTCTCATATGGCCACACATATATAGCTTCTGACAGGTAAGTCCTACCAACTATCTTCTCGTATGAGTGATGTTATTTACGAAATTGAGAGGACGAAAAGCGAATGTCCGGCGCTTATAAAAACGCTAACCATTTCACAATCTAACGAAACATCACAAGGATAAATTAATATAACACTGAAATGAAATAGAGTAAACGATAGTTTGCTCTTAATCAACATGATTTGATAGGAAAATCTCTGAAGTTTCTTTGGGAAGCACTGAATCATAGTTCTATCTTAGAATATAAGACTATTCAAAAGTTTATAGCTAATACCTTTACAATGAATGAAAACTAGTTTTTTGTAGTAATCATTTACAAATAGTAAAAAATCACTACAAACTATGTATATATATAAAAAGATATGTATTCAATGAGTAATCCTGCGATTGAATAATCAATAACTAGTAACCGATTTCATATATGTCTAGTTCGTTGGTGTTGATCAAATTCTACTGATCAAGTTGTGATGTGACCACTAGTCTAAATAACTGAACATCGAGTGTTCTATGTCCAAATATCTCAATGGTAAAATCTCGAATTATGAAGTCGCGTGACGCAGATTGGAATCCTACAGAACGGATCAATTTTCTTAAAACTGTAGGTACTCCTTTTTGACTAGTGCCAACTAGCCCGAAACCTTAACCCAGCTTTTTCTCTTAACTACCGGCAATTACCTAACAATTACCTTCCGGGTTTTCCATGGTGGTCTAGCTTCAATTGACTCACGCTTTCAGCTATGAATAACACAAATATTCTTATTAACAGAAATATCCAAATGAATATATTAAATATTCAAATGAATAATCATTAGGAAGCCAATTTTACGGTTAATTAACTGAATTGTATGAGTATATTACACCCATGATCAGTGAGTCTGTCAATCACAAAGTAGAACTTCGTACGTACCTACATCACTTCGAGTTGCCACACTGGATTGGCATAGAGATACAGTTGTCGATTCAAATCCCATAGCGGTAGAAGTAGTAAGAGTATAAACAGTAATCAAAAAGATTAGGGTTTGAAGATGTTATTCAAGGAGTACAATCCAATGAAATAGATTTGGAAAGAGAAAAAAGATAGAGACATGAAGAATTCAGAAGATTAGAATTTGGGAGAACACAAAGAGTGGATGCACCTACTCCATTGTAAACGATTCTGAGCCATTTCATTCAAGGTCTCTAAACATCGAATGCTATCATCTCGTGCATTCCAATCAGGTAGTCTACACCTACCAACATGGCTCAGTCCAATTGTCAGTGACTTCATGGATTTGTGCCACGTTTTGGTGTGGCCGCCCCTAGCTTTCTTCCAACCTACTCCTACACCATGAAACATTGCACGTCGAGGCAGTCGGTGGTTGGGCATACATAACACGTGTCCCAGCCATCTCAACTGATTAAGTTTCACTACTTCATCAATTGATTTGCCATCCTTACCTAGTACCCGTTTCCTAATAACTGCATTACTTACCCGGTGATCCCAGGATATACGATGAAATAGTTACATTACATCCCTTGGTTGTTCTACGTTGAATCACAGCTATCCATTTCTTTTCGTATGGCTTAGTAACCTGGTTTAAAAATGTTATAGTAATCATATAAAATTGTTCAACCGATGTGTCTAAAACATTAGGATTAATGACTGTAAGCGATAAATATTGTGTTATTTTAACAAATTTTCTTCGGGAAGATTGTATTAGCTTCTATATATATATATACACTATGAATGCTTTCCTGACTGATCACACTATGAATGCTTTCCTAACTGATCACGAAAAGCTAAAAAAACTCATCAGTAAAGAATATATGTATTTCAAAGATTTCATTTCATAGGACCATTGAAACAATCTGAATTCTACCAATCAATCTTTTTACCCATTTTTGTCCTTTTACAGGTATGAACTAACTTTGTGAAACATTTATATTATCCTTGAGGAACGTTAAAAATTAGATAGTACTGTGAACAGTCATTTCAAGTTATTTCGAAGCCTAACAATATACACATAGACACATGAGATCAAACCCTTCGAAAAACTCATTTGATTCTCGTTGAAAGTATGATTCAGTGTAATACTAGCAAATAGATAAATAAATATGTAATATTATATATAAATATGAATAAGATGAATACTTACTTCCATGATAGTTTCAAAATATTGTCCACCTTCTATAGACCATCTACTTAAATATTCTTCAATACGATAATGTTTTGGTTCATTTTGACTTGTTAAACTTAATACATAGGTTCTATCTTCTTTACGATAACGTACTCTATACATTAAATGATAGGATGATCATGATGATGATTGGATAATTTGTTAATGGGGTTACAAAGGAAAACCATACAAAAATCACTGATAAGATTACTATTACCATAATTCAATTTACAAAATCAAGATAGACATCTTTAATTTCATTAAATGATTTACCTCAGTTGAATTTGTCTTAGAAAATGTAATTATAATTCTAACTAAACTCCCCTTATAGCTCTACTAGAGGTACTACCGGTCCCAAGCCCGAGTAAAGGAAGAGGGTTGGGCATGGGGTAAGCAACGCAATCTCGTAGATGAAAGCAAAATCTTTCTAACCAGATTAAGTAATTAATCCTACTAAGCATATAATTCACCTACCAAGTTTGACTGATTACTTAAAAGCAAAAATAAGGAGATAATTCAATCAACTAGAATTAATCGTGTAATGTGTCTGTCTTAAACTTTAAGTTAGTTATATTTATTTATCATTCAGTCAGTTAGTCAATTGTGATCAATGTAGATCCTGGTACAGACATATGCAATGGTGCAAATCGCTCCATCATATTAACAAAACACAATGAAATTAACAAAATGAATTTCAATATAGATTGAACTAATGTCTGTCTGTCCATGATTCATATGAAAGAGAACAAATTGATGATAAAAACGTTGCTGAACTATCAAGAGTATTTCGATAGTATTGCTTTCCACTGAAGTGGTTGAATTCTTTGAAAATCTATTAAGTATAGGTGAATTATACGGTGTATTATGGTGGAGATTTGTAGGTAAGGTGGATAATTTTGGTGAAGTTTTGTTCTTTGAGCTGGATGGTTTAGTCGTGGAGTTTTCATCGTTCTTCTGAACGACATCATCAACACAAACTTCAAGTAGAAGTTAAGAGTCCAAATTTCTCCACATATGACTCCCAACATGTCCTGCAGACTTCGATCTTCATTGGTTACTATTGACCATTAACCTGACATTGTTGTCGTTCAGAAGAACGATGAACACTCCACGACCAAACCATCTAGCTAAAAGAATAAAACTCCACCCAAAACGATGTAATAGTCACGTGATTTCTCCATCTCGAATTTCCACATTCATTTCAATGTTTCAGAAAATAATCGTATCATTTTGATATTTCTACTGTTACAATGTGTGACATCTTGCATTAAGTAGTTCGTCCTTGTACGTGATCGTTTTTTGAGTGTTTTAATAAAAATTCCATTGAAACCTCAATAAATGACAATAATTAGTCAACTAGTAAGTAACCAATATCCTGTTTCTTCCAACCCTTACTGTTCAAGTTACAGTATACAGTTTATGTGGTTTAAATGACTTGACATCGTGATGTATCTTTCTTTGATATTAGGTGGTTAAAGAAAATTCAGAGGAAGTTTTAACTGATCTACGTTTTGTGACAATTAGCAATCTGATTGACAGAAACTTTAATCATTTCACTATAGTCCCTTCAGAAATGGTAAATCTCAGATCAAAGATTTTCATTCAGAGGAATTCCAGGCATATCAAAATATTTATCGATTTTTATGTTGTTTTCATGGAGAGATTTGTCTAGTTTGTATTATCAATAGTTGGCATTAGTTAGGGAATTACTCACTGGAGACAATGGAGGAAGGTGGCTCAATTTGGTAAATTGGTTGAAGTTAGACATTAACACCATCAGGTGCAGACCGGCTCAGTGGTCTAGAGGTTAGGCGTTAACGTGCGAGACCGATAGGTCCTGAGTTCAAGTCTCATGAGGCGGGATCGTCGGTTTCAACTGCTGAGGAGTCCCATACTAGGACGAAATGTCCGTCCAGTGCTCCCAGGTATCCCATGGTGATCTAACTTCAATCGACTCATGAACTCAACTATTAGATCACTATAATATCACTATAATATCACTATAACCCCTTTCTGAGAAATACTAAAAACTGTGAAGCACTGAACATTTGTTTGATTTTTTATTTAAGAATCTTTAATGACGGCAAATAACGTTTTATGATAGAATTTCAAAACGTAACCGTAACACCACCAACAACAACGATTAATTTCTTTCACGAGTCGTTCAGTATACATTTTATTCAAAATTCTGTAATAGCAGTCTTGTCTTCTTAAGTGATGAGTTGTGTTTTTTTTCATTAACTACCATTTATTGAATACTTATGAAACATTATTTAAGCCATAGCTTTTGTAATGATACTAACTAATGTATCAGAACTCAATGGTTAGATACGAATTCTTAAACTTGGCTTTAAACAATATATTTTAAGAGATTGCTAGTTATATAGTTATACACACATGATTGCTGGAAATAAAGTAAAATGGAATAGCGTACAAAATTCTAACATAATCATCAGATATTGGATATTTTAATAGTGAAGTCATTAGTTCATAGACATTGAATAATCGATTTTATTCTTATGTGAAGTATCCTTTATTTATTTCAATAATTTGGCAAAAGGACAGATCCATATTGATGTATTGCATCATCATGAGGCAAGAGCTAAATTGAGATCCTCAAGGAAAAAGGGAAGGGGTAAGACCAGGTAATATATTGCATCGAAAATTGAAGGAAGACATCAAAAGAATGAATAGCAACTGCAAATAACTAGAAAGGAATACCCAGAATAAAGTTCGATGAATAATCCTAGTAAGATGTCTATGTTTCTTCAAAAGGGATAACAGGCATAAATGAGTAAGTAAGTAACTGAGCAAAATACTAGAAATCATATAGCTCGATAATGATAACTTCACTTTTATTTACTCTCTACTTTGCTTTCTTTTTCTAGCTTGATGCTATGCTAAATCGAATATGAATTCATTACTTCAGATAGTTCTATATAGTGAGAATCAACACGCAATATTTCAAGTTACATTTTACTTACTTCCTTCCTCTATTTTCCATTAAAACAATAAAAGTAATAATTGAACGTTTATTGTTTTTCATCTTTTAAGTATTTCCGATGATTAACGTCAATTTGTGAATAATGAGAAGGGGTTTTGTGGAGATTTCAGTAATTTCATAGTTGAAATCATGAGTCCCCATGGGATGCCGGCTCAGTGGTCTATCGGTTAAGTGCTCTGGCTCGAGATTGGTAGGTCCTGGGTTCGGATCTCGTGAGGCGGGATCATGGATGCGCACTGCTGAGGAGTCCCGGAATGAGACGAAACGACCGTCCAGTGCTTCCAGGTTTTCCATGGTGGTCTAGCTTCAATTAACTACTGATTTTAACTATGAAAATTTGTGAATAGTAGCATATCATCTGTGTTGTTAATATTATTTAGTTGAATTTGAGATAAACAATTCTCTAGCTTATTTACTCAGTATATTTACTCAGTTTATCATTTCACGTAGTAAAATCACGATCGTTAAGCTTTATTGACATGAGTAACTTCATAATATTTGATTATAGAGGTATTCTAAGTTTTAGGCTTGAATATTAGGTAAATATAGTAAAAAAAATAGGTTGATAAGGCTGCAAACCTTCAGCAACCATGACGGTTGAGATTTACATTATAATTGATCGATTGTCACATAAGCCGATAAAGAATGTTTGTTAGTACAAAAGTATATTGGAAGAAGAAGGCAAAGGATGGTCAGATTATGATTGTTATTCTGTACAGATAGGAAGTATTTTGAGTTACCCTTATGGAACTCTTTAACATAATCACAATCTCGAGGCTGTAAACCAAAGGTATCATAGTGGTAAATACATTAACAGTTTTAACTGATTCAATTCTTCCTATACTATAACAAGTTAAGTATCATTTTTTTATTCTCTTGGTTATTCTTGCAAAGTTTCATTCACTGTTTTGTTTAAAAAAATGTTTGAGGAATACAAGTGAAGTCATATTTATTAGCTTTCTTTTTGTTTCATTCAAAATAGCTAGTATATATATACATATATATGATTGATTGATCTTAGAACTGTGACATGTCAGATTTATCTAATACTTCTAGTGGTGATCGGATTCTATCGACTGATTTACAATATGGTCCCACGAGTTTAAGTTATCATCATATAACATAACATATTTTCATGAAAGCCAGTTGGAGTTAGTCAGCAGAGTACGCTGGATCTAGGTTTCGTAAAAACTGACATTCGTCATCAAGGTGCACCAAACATTTTGAGAGAATTGATGTTACCTAAGGAGTTGGAACCGGTGTCAAGAAGCTTCGTTTTCTGGGATGTTAGTACTGAGCTATTTAGGCAGTTAATGTCCTTCTATTGGACAGAGATGTTAGGAATTAGTTGATCCGTAAGCATTGATTATTACTAATGTTTGACAATTCAAGTCAAAAGATTTGTTTATTAGCTTAAATTATGAAGCGATTCTAGTTAGAATACCATTGAAAACCAGGAAACAATGGACAACTGTTTCGTCTTAGTATGAAACTTCTCAGTAATATGTATCCATTACTCCATCGAGAATCAAACCAAAGAGCTTCAAAATGATAGATGATAGTTCTACACTGTCTCAAACTGATTAAAGTTAGGAACTTAAATCATTAGATACTGGCTCAGTAGTCAGAAGATCAAGTACTCACCTCGAGAAATGAAAACCTTGAAATTTGCCCTCGATAAGGTCGTGGAGACGTACTATTGTGGTGTCCCTTATTATGACGAAACAACTGTTCATTGTCTCCTGGTTCAACTAGACAACATAATCATATATAGTATCGAGTAACAATCAACACAGTTAATAACTAACAACATAAACCACAATTAAGTTAGATACTTACAAAAATGCACCGTCTTGATTTCCTTCACTAGCCAAACGTGATTCAGCTTCATATCGTCTTATAGTATGATGATACCATGGTTGTAATAAATGTAAATCTTTTATTACTAAAAAGCGTAAATGATTACGCATTGGACCGTTTAACGCTTCTTCAACACTTTGACCCTGTAAAAGAGTGAAACAAGGGAGGAATAAGGTGAAATAAGAATGTGATAAACACAGATGTATAAAGATTAGCAGTGGAATGTAGAACGCACGTCTCGTTCTATTCGGGACTCGTAGCTGGATGTACTTGCATCCTAGAGTTATTGTTCACTCCGGGGTGCAGGTACATTGGGCTAAAAAGTCTTAAATAGGACGAAAAGCGAGTCTTGGATTCCACTGCTAGCCACCACCCATCTTCGTCTATAATGCATGTGACTGAAGACAATCCGCACAGGATGCACATATACGAATAAGACACTGATCAAACGCAGTCCTAAATATCAGTGGGAAGATTCAAACAAATAATACCAATTGAATTAATACATGTATAAAGTTAGGTTATGCACTCTCTTCGAGGTCTGAATATGATAGGCTTAATTTATATAAGGATTTGCATATGCAGAATATTGAGAATTCCATATTTAAATAAAACAACTGTCTTACGTTTTCCGGTTTTGAAAAACTGTCTAACTAAATGCAGCCAGTAATGTAGAAAACAAATGATTATTAACCATTATTTCACGAATAAAGATAGGTTTACAGTTCTAACTTTTAAAAATCTACATTCTCCACAAATCCACTTGTACCAACAATAGTTATGTCCGAAATAGTATTTAGCTTTAAGATACAATTCCAGGATTTCTTGTGAAAAGTCCTATAAAGTGGAGTTCAACTATGTAGGGTGTGAGACAATTATCTACTAAACCCAGTTGATGAGGGTTAGACATTATCGTGAATTGATTGAATTTAGACATTGACACTTTTAAATCCTGGTTCAGCGATCTTCATGTTAAGCGTTCACGCGTGAGATCACAAGACATTGGTTCGATTCTCAGATGCAAGGTTGAGAATAGGCACTGCTAAGGAGTTCCATACTAGCACAACACAGTTGTATAGTGGTCCCAGGTTTTCAATGCTCGTCTAGACAACATCAGTTTGTGATTTAAACTATGAAAATTTTACGATCTCCACAAATACCCCATGATAATATATATATATAACGAGAGATCACAAGGCATTCTGTAACTCGCTAATCAATGGTACTTCAAAAAATGAATAATGAACTAGAATTTCAGCCGTTCCATAGGGGTAACTAGTTATTTAACATTGTCTTCATGGTTATACGCCGCATGAACATAACATTGATTACTGTTGACCAAGCAATGAACAGCATTTCAAACGAGTAAACATATGAAATATCTTTCCATTCACTGGATTTATTTTATTCGAAATGATGGTTGTGGATACTTATCCTTATCAATAATCCAGCAAGCTACAAATTGTTTATGTGAGATTCACATAAAGGCCTACAAATCAATACATCGAAAATTGATTCATTTCTCAATCCAGCATCATTTGACAAAAGACGAATGTATCAAGACTGTTTCAGTATGTTTCAACAGTTTGATACTACTCCAGTTGGCATTGGTTCCTGTTAACAAAGCAATCAACAGAATTTAAAACGAGTAAACATATGAAATGTCGGCGAGACTAGACTTTATGGACGACCATTAAACGAAATTTAAATGACCTTGAGAAATATTAGCCAATCAGAAGATGGTTAGTATACAGGAAAAATATATTATACAAAAACTAAAAAAATTAAAGCGGATACTGTTTTTTTATATGGCTCACAAACTTCTCAATGTCAGATATAGGTTCAGAAGTTCTAAAATTATAGTGCATACAGTACAGGAACTCATCCATATGGCTCCATAGTAGTGGACCTCTGCAGCCTTGAATAGGTCTCAAGAATTCTTTTAGCCTCGACCACAGCTTCAATCTTGTTGGTATGGTTTAGGGTTAAGGTTAGGGTTTAGGGTTAGAGTTCAGGGTTAAGGTTTAGCGTTAGGGTTAGGGTCTAAACCTTAATCGTGATCGGGCGAAAAAAATTATTTGAGTACCACAGTCACAAGTATAGGAACTGCTTAATAATCACTTCTCTTATAGACGCTGAATTATCATGTCTTCTCTAAAACCCGCTGTAAACTGATAGTACGTAAACATCAGGTACCAAACTTAACGCCGTGATCTTTAAAACCCGCGGAAGCTTCTGATTGGCTCGTCCATAAAGTTCAATCCCGCCGAAATGTCTTTTCATTTACAGGATTTATTTTACTCAGGATGATGGTTTTGAATACTTATCCTTATCAATAATCCAGCAAGCTACAAATTGTTTATGTGAGATTCACATAAAGGCCTACAAATAAATACATCGAAAATTGATTCATTTCTCAATCCAGCATCATTTAACAAAAGACGAATGTATCAAGACTGTTTCAGTATGGTTCAACAGTTTAATACTTTTCCGGTTGTTGTTTTTTTCTCTTTAAGAACGCAATTCCATTATATGTTTATATATATAATGCTCGGTGTGTACACATGAACAAAGATAATAAGAAATTCGAATTAACTTTAGTGATTAAAGAATAAAAATATGCAAATATTGTCTAAGTCAATTGAACTAACGTTTGTATCATTTAATGTGTATCTATACGAATCTTTCTGTTTGTATCTATTTGTGTGTATGTGTGTGTGTGTGTAAATTATAAGGAGACATTCTGTCTCTCTCTCTCTCTCTCTTTTTCCTCATAAATAAGTATGGGTAATAATGATAATAATAGTTAGATTTTAACATCCGTTCTATTTATTATGTTACAGATAGACAAGTTATTTCAGGAATACTGGATCGAATCTATTTTGCAATGACCTTGACTGACTGACGAAAATAGATCATCCAATCGTATTGAAGATGAAGGTATAGATTGAAACTGTGTGATATATATTCATAAGCATATTTCTATTGTTTTTTGTTTGTTTTTATTTCGTTTATATCGTAATTAATTTTTTCTATCCCTTTAAGCATAAAATTAAATAGGAAAAATTAATCAGAAGGGGTTTTGTGGAGATTGTGAGATAACAATTCACTGAAGGCAATTGGTGAACGATTGCTCAAACTTCGTGGATTGGTTGAAGTTAGACAATAACACCGTTGGATATCGGCCGGCTCAGTGGTTTATCGGTTAAATGCTCTGGCGCGAAACTGGTAGGTCCTGGGTTTGAATTTCACTCCCGAGGCGGGATCGTGAATGCGCACTGCTGAAGAGTCCCATAATGGGACAAAACGGCCATCCAGTGCTTCCAGGTTTTCCATGACGGTCTAGCTTCAATTGACTCATGATTTCAACTAAGAAAAATTAACTTATGACTGACCGAGTAGTTAGTTCCTTACTTAGGTATCTGATTAATTTATCTGAGAGAAGTTAGATCTCTTATTTCCAAACTTCTTCAGACTACGACTGACGATTAAACGTTTGTGAACATGAGGTGGCTGAAATGACTCAATTTATTCAAAACCATATGTCTGATTACAGTCAAAAGTTCCCAGCATAAAATGTCATAAGTGAGGAAGTTTCTTTTCTTAATGCCATACTTCCATCATACGGAAATTCGATCGGGGAGTTCCTATATTGTCATATCTCATTTATTTTTCCAAAGGACATACTAATGGAACAATATATTAATTATTTGTGCTAGCTCCGCTTGAACTGCGTAGTAGTTTACTTAAGGATAGGTTGCAAGCTATTTATAGAAGCATGAGAACATAGTAGGCATAGTAGACAACACAGTAGACATCAATGGGAAGATTCAAACAAACAATACTAAGTAAATTTCAAATTCACCCCATTGCACAAGCAAATGGTTATCAGGACTCAGTGGCCGAGTGGACAACGAGATGGCGTTTGAAGCGAACGGTACTGGGTTCGAGTCGCAGAGTGAACATCAACTCAGAGATGCAGGTACGTTCAACTGACAAGTCCCAAAGTAAATTTATAGTAGGCAGTCATTATACGTCAGCTGAAAAAATATAACCATGATATTTAATTAGTTATAAAATAGATAAAGTGACCTTGAAGTTTGCTTGGACCATTAATGTTGTTTAATAACTTTATTAGTGTGTACAATCGATTGATCACTGAAACGTTTAGTTCTTTTAGTGTCAATCAAATTCTGTAGATCAGGTTCAAATGTGGTTACTATACCAAATGACTTGGCACAGCGGAAGCTAAGTTTGATTTAAAGTGGCTGAAAGTAGTCTGAAAGAAACCTTCCACTTGGATTTCGCGCTAGTTGGTGCTTGTCAACAACGTGTACTTGCAATTATGATGGAATCGGTTCACTTAGTGGGATTCAAACTTGGGTCACCCAGTTTCACTCCGACATTGCTCACTATTCATTGATCAATCGATTGTGAACATCTCAGTACTACAAGCAGTCAGCCAGAGCCCGAAAAACTCATTGCTAACGTCTCAGACTAAGAGACTGACTGATACAACTTCATATCTCATAGAGCATCAGTTCCTTCGAGACTGTAAGTACACCTTACTGATAAGTGACAACTAGTATTAAGCCTCAATCCAGGGTATATATACGACTGCTCCTAGCCACCTACCATCTGTTATTGTGCAAGTAAATGATGAGGATGATAAACTATCCACAACCCTTACGCTATTTTCCTGAAGTAATCAATAAGAAAGCAAGTGTTTGTATGAGAATTCACATAAAACTAGATAACTTGATAATGAACAACATACATTAAAAACATTCTATGAATAATATATCAGAAACAAATCATTACGGAAAAACAACATGATTCGTTTGCCAGTGTAGCATGGTCATATTGATAGGTTTTCAAGGTGTAAAACTAGAAAACTTGGTATTGCACTTAAAATCCTCAGAAAGTAGACATTTCATCCATAATTGTGATTTAATGAGGTGTTGATTGTAGACAGTCAACTAGAAACCCTACTTCATTTAGTTTCTGTGTTATTTGGGACTCTTCAGAAAGGTATATCTGTAATCTTTAGGGAACTGATTCTCCTTGGCAGATTCAATTCTATGCTACGATATTCACAGCCACACAGCTATCGATACCACTACTAACCTCCTGTATGACAGAG